AAAGCTGGAGAGGGTACAGAGCTGAGGGGCAGGAGCAGGACCGAGGGCTACGGGAAGATCTCTGAACTAAACTGCAAGGCCACGAAAGGTGATCCGCTCGGTTGCAAGGGAATTTCACATTTTTCCAAACGATTATAAAAGTATTGTACGGATGCTGACACCTCAAACTACGGACGCTCCAGAGACGCAGAAGCCAGAACCTAAGAAACTTTATCCTGACCTCCATTTCACAGTTCTGACATTTCTCACACCTATTTTCAAAAAGCTTGTTTAATTAAAAACATCTGATTTGCTGCCATGCTCTGTGTGTGTCACAGTGAATGGGATCAGAACCAAGTGCCGCCAGATTTATATCAGGAGTTTTTCTTTGTCTGTCGCTGCCAAATCATACTCATATGACAGATTAATAAAATAAAGTTAACAAAGTAAGTACATAGTGAGTGTGTGCCAGTTGTGAATGTGAAGGAGAATCAATATTACAGAAATCTCCAGAGGGAAATTTAGCCGGGCAATCAATTATAAGATCAATCAATTATTTGTGCACAATGAAGACCTGAAAAAGTTGAAACATGGCAGTATTAATCTGGTCAGGAAAATAGTAAAATCTGAAGTAGATGTTTGTTCTGGTATCAGCAAAAACTATTCTGGTTAGTCTTTTTCACTGCAAAAAGTGATGACAAATAAGTACAAAAAATGGCTCAAATTTGGCAAAATATGTATTAATTTGAGCACGTTTTGACAGCCTTGAAACAAGATTTACCAATCGGACAAAGCAAAATGATCTTGTTTTAAACAGGTACAAGAAATTTCTCCTTTGGAATGAGAAAATAAAGTAACAGTTCTTGAAATAAGACTAAACGGCTTTGTCCCGTTGGAGAATCTTGTTTTAAAGGAGCAGTATGTAAAAATCTGGCCAAAAGTGGTACTGCAACCTCTCCCACTCTCCCTGACTCAGGTTGCCAGATATGCAGACGAATCCAGAGTTTTGTCAACAACAAATCGCCCGATAAAAGACCTCATTTCATTCCTTGTTTTGTCATTAATGATTTGAGAATCGTAACAAGACCATTTCTTAGTACAGCGGCCACGTGTTACTATCAGTGAGATTAGCTCGATGCGGTGAGTTCTGGCAACCCGGGTCACTGACTTTCTGATTGGTAAAACAGAAAGTCAGTTTTCAGTCATCAAATGAAAACAATAACAAGATTTAGGGCCTTTAAAACTAATTTTGAAATTCAAATATCTCTGAACTACTGTTATCATTTAAAGAAGTATTGGAAAAGAGTATGTTTTATTAATGCCTTTTGACAGATTAGGGCCCTTTAATGATGATTTGGCATGAAAATCTTACATATTGCTATACTTTATTTAACACAGTCAGAATGTACTCAAAATTAAGATGAAAAATTCACTCGTTTCAAGCAATTATTACCTCATATTTTATAATTTTTGGCAATGTAAGCACACTTAATTGCTGCTGCTTCAACCAAAATGCCCCCCTGGGATAATAAATATACCTTGAACCTTGAATCTTGAACTGTTTCTGTATGTTTTAGCATTCATTCATTTTTACACAATTAAAAAGCTAGTGTTATTTTGCTTTCTTTAAATTGTGTGCACATCCACCAAATGAAGACTTCATAAGACATAAAGACATCACTTACCACAATGTTTCCCCCCTGCAAGGCCAAGTTGCTAAACGCCTGTCCGCCGCTGTACAGCTTTGACAGATGGCCCTGACTTTTAGATAACATGGCACGGCTCGGGCATTGCGCGCCAATATATACACGCACCACCAGGCCTTTCTACAATCCTTTTGGCAGCTGTAGCGTCACAAAACCACTTCCTACATATCCTCCATTGAGTCACGGTAAAAGCATGTACCGCCATTTGTCATTGCCGTCTAATTGAAAACATCAGAACGGAGCTTTGGCACTTTACGAAGCAGATATCGAGGGTGACAGGCGCTGGGAGAGACGACGACCCCAAACACACTTGCCGTTTTTTTATCCCCCAATGAAAAGCGTAAATCACCAGGGCCTGCCGTCGCTGAGATAAACTCAAACCAGCCAGAAGGAAAAGGAACGCGATGCTGCTTTTCAAGTCGTGGCATTGTATGTGTTTGGAGTTACACAAAAACCCTCTCCCTCTGAAAAGCCACTGGAAATTGCTCTGAAAGAAATGTGCTCTGCCTTCCATCCATGCACATAATACTTCCTTAATTGATCATTTGCTTGTGTCACATAATTATTGATTGCTTATTGATTGTCAGCGTGTTATAATCGTGCTGTTTGAGAATAACCAGCTGTTCGGAGTCAGAGGGAGTCGTTTCTACACGGCTGTGATCTAACCACATCCAGAATCTGATTGTATGAAATATATTGTCTCAGTGGCAGTTAAATCTGTATATAATCTGTTTAATTACAAAATCCAAATTTAGACATACTACAAGTACATACGTACAGACAAATACAATAAGAGATACTTTCGAAAAAATTATTCCAGAGAGATTAGAGAGAAACCAGAGAGACCATTGAGAGACCAGAGAGAGACCAGAGAGAGACCAGAGAGAGACCATTGAGAGACCGAAGAAGGACCAGAGAGAGACCAGAGAGAGACCATTGAGAGAGACCAGAGAGAGACCAAAGAGGAACCAGAGAGAGATCAGAGAGAGACCCTTGAGAGACCAAAGAAGGACCAGAGAGAGATCATTGAGAGAGACCAGAGAGAGACCAGAGAGAGACCATTGAGAGACCAAAGAGGGACCAGAGAGAGACCATAGTTTTTATAGTTATATAGTTGTTGCGTGTACATGCGTGCGTGCGTGTGTGCGTGCGTGTGTGTGTGTGTGGGTGTGGGTGCGTGGCTGCTTTTCACCTTACTCTTGCCAAAATTCTTCTCAGAACCGAGATGAACAAAGAAATATCCACCGTTGAGCTATGACAATGAGCCTTTGGAGAACATATCTTACCTATATGTTGTTAAAAACTGCAGAGAACTGTCTTTTGTCCGCTTTGTTATAGAAACCATTCATTCGTGCTGTTTGTACACGAGTTATTGAGAGAGAATCAAGTGAATCCAGAGTGTGACGCCCTCTGCTGACACCAGTTAAGTTGCAAATAATGGGTTTTTAAGAATATAGTTATATACTTCATTTATGACTTTATATCCTATTCATCAGATTTAATGTTTTCAGTACAGACAACTGTGGCAATGATCCTGTTTTTATAGCCACGAGAAGGTCAAACATGGATAGAGAAACAGTTTTTCCCTGATTGGCAAACCGTACACGACAGAGCCGGTGTTTGCAACCAGCTTTATGCATTATTTGTGTGGAAAGAGTGCGATGCCTTTGATATGTTTTTATTTTCTCCACTGCATAAGCCCATTATCGGACTTGTTTGTTACTATCTTCATCATGCATACGGTGCTTTTCTGTCAATACTGTGTGCACTCTATTGACTCTCATTGACTTTCCTTTTATCTTCCTCATTATTTATTCACATTCACAGAGGCTTTTGATGGGCTCTACTCCAAACTCCAACCAAACCCGTCTTAATCCACTTCTATGTCGGCAGTTTGTGAGATGGCACTTCTTCTTTCCAACTTTCAAAACAGAAGTCGGTTATTGTGTTCCAGAAATTGACGTTTTATATGTTCAAAATGATTCTTCCTGAAGTTCAAATAAAACAACAATATTTAGATTAGAAAAGGGGCTGTGCCTTTTGGGCTGCTTCAGTCCTGCACCGCACCTGTCCTCGTTCTACAACGTGAGTCCTGAGTGTATATGTATGTATAGATGTATAGATATAGATAGGGGTGGCACGGTGCCTGAGTGGATAGCATAAAAGAAGCAAGAAGGTTCTGGGTACGAATCCCAGTCAGAGCCTTTCTGAGTGGAGTTTGCATGTTCTCCTCGTGTCTGCGTTGGTTTCCTCCGGGTACTCCGGTTTCCCCTACCACTAAAAACATGTGCAATAGTTCAGGGTGAACGAGTGTGTGTTTGTGATTGCAAATGTGGGACAACGGATGCAAATTAATCCATGGCTACAATCCGGAGTGATGTGTTCATTAACATGTACTATCCCAACCAAATAAACAATACAATTAATGAATATATAAATAAGATAAGTTAGACTGTATTGATCTCACACTGGAGAATTGTACATGTCACATTTGGCGTGGATAGAAGCACTCAGATTGTGCAACATGTTTAAGGTTAAATGTATTATTTGTGCAGGATATAACTATGTACAATAAATGATAGAGTGGCAATAGCAGTGAAGGTTTTTTCAGTCAGTTACTTAAAGTGACATACTGTCTCTTTATTGTCACTTTTATTATCTTATATAGAAAAGATAATAAAAGTATGTAAGATGTCAGACCACTTGTTGTACTTATTTAATCACACACCCCTTCCTGTTATTACCTACTCATATCCTCCCCCTTTCTCAGCTTTGGATCTCCCACTAGTTCATACACACACACACACACACACACACACACACACACACACACACACACACACACACACACACACACACACACACACACACACACACACACACACACACACACACACACACACACACACACACACACACACACACACACACACACACACACACACACACACACACACGCGCACACGCACACACACACACGCACGCACATACTTACCCTACCCTAACCCTCCCAGCTATACCTTTGTTGTTTATTGTATCATAATCAACAATGTATCATCACTGTTGTCTGTGTTCTGTATTTTTTTCCCCTGTATGCTTGTCACTTTATGATTGTGAATGACTAAGAAAAGATAATAAGATAAAAGTTATGAATTGTATTGAATGTCACCAACTGCCATTCCAATCTACTAATAATCAAACATATTCCCACAGAAAGAGAATGAATCTTCTTTCCCATGAACCAAAATCAGTTCCTCCAATGTTGCAGTTGTTTGCAGCTGTAGCTCTGACCGAGTCTTGTCATGTTGTTCTCAGATGAAACTTCATTTGAAGCTGGGATCAAGGTTCAGATCCACACTCAGGACGAGCCCCCCTTCATCGATCAGCTGGGGTTCGGAGTGGCCCCGGGCTTTCAGACATTTGTGTCGTGTCAGGAGCAAAGGGTAAGTCTGCGCACGCCTTTACAGCAGAGACATACACTGAGTTTGATAATAATGTCCTTATGGCTGCGAGGCTAGCTGCTATTCCATCATACAGGGCTGCACAACTGATCGCATTTTCCTGGGTCACAATTTGGAAAGAGTGCAATTATGTAAGTTCTTTGTGATTACATTTTGGAGAAGAAATCAATGCGACAAGACAACCCTATTTTATCTTTAAAGAGACATACATAAACACAATCAAAAACAAACATTTCATAATTTATACATGCTCAAAGTGTTGCACTACATACCAGAGAGAGACCAGAGAAAGACCATTGAGAGAGACCATTGAGAGATCAGAGAGAGATCAGAGGGAGACCAGAGAGAGACCAGAGACAAAGAATAGAGAGAGAAATAGGAGAGAGACAAGGGATACAGATTAAAGATAGACCAGAGAGAGAGAGAATTAATTAATTTATTTTTTAGTTCTATTGTGGGTAAAAACAGAGACCAGAGAAAGACCAAGAAGAGACCATAGAGAGACCAGAGAGAGACTAGAACGAGACCATAGAGAGACTAGAGAGAGACCATTGAGAGACCATTGAGAGACTAGAGAGAGACCAGAGAGAGACCATGCTCTATGCAGGTCTATAATGTATTCATTGTTATTTAGTGAAGGGGTTATGGAGACTTGTGAAGCATTGAGGCTTTTCTTTCAAATGTATATTCAAAGCTTCAACACTGTCCGTCTGAAATCACTGACATGTGGTGGACAAATTCACAACTTGATTTTTTTACTTGATTTGGTTTTACACTCTTTGATATTGAACATTACCCATAAGTGGCGTTCATTCTTGTGTTGCTCTGTTCAATGAACCTCTGCGTCAGGTGCAGCGAGCAGAGCAGAGAATTACACGAGATGTCAAGGCGCTTCAAAGGAAATCCTTTTGCACTCATGAACTTTGAGAAAACAGTTTTTACTTTCCTAAACATAAATGATAACTAGGAGAAGTTATAGTCTCAGGAGTAGACAGAGATGAGCCAGCAGAGGGAGAGGGAGCGCTGAGAAACGTCCATACACTGAACTGCAGAACCTCCACACTCGGCCGTTATGTGATCCACCAGAAATTTGCTTCAAGAAGACAAACCCCAGACTCATCCACCCATCACTAGTTTTGTTATTAATATACTACTTTATTCATTTATTCTTACATATTTAACATTGCTACATTTCATCTTTTATTTCTACGCTGGGAAAAAATGGTTTCTGTTATAGGTCTGTTTTGTTTTGTGTGGGAATTGTGTATTATGTAATTCCTTCATAAGTTTTTTTCAAAGTCCCCCTATGAACCAATACCTATGTGTTCTAAAAAAAATTGTGTTTGAGCTGTTGGTTTTTTGATCTGTTGTTAGCGATTTCAACGGTTTTGTAAAATCCTCTGAGATATCTATAGTATTGTGGTTTAGGGCTGTACAAGAAAATCCCGAAATATCGTGCAGCCATAATGAATGGAACTAAGCAGACAGGGCCGAGTCAGTTCATGGATGGGAGACCGCAGGGACGACCAGGTGCTTTGTTTTGTCTGAATGGTGTATAGTGTGTAGTGATAGTCTGAAGACCTCCATTGTGTTCGGAGTGAATCATTAAATACTCTGTAAAAGCACTTTGGGTGTCGTGAAAAGCACTATATAAATTCAGTGCATTATCATTATCATAGTTTCTCTTCATCGCCATGGAGACACCCTCAGTGCAAAATGAAGGGTATATCTGAGGAGAAATTGCATATCAAGAGTGCACATTTATCAAATCTGAAAATGTTTTGGCATTTGATTACAGGCACGGGATGGACCCTCTACCTCAAAATTGTATGCGCTGTTACAGAAAATAAGTTTTATGGTTGTGTTTGACCCACGCCCTCTGAGACAGGTGTGGGATTTGGAACGGTGTCTTTAAGTAAATAAACCTTGAGACCTGGAGCAGGGTCAGTGCTATTAGCCCTTCTTTGATTCAGACTTCTTCAACCTGGTGTTTACTGCTGTGTGTGTCTGTCAAAATAATCCAACTTCTGTTTGTTTGGGGTTTCTTGCCTATTTTTTTAACTTTTCTTTCATTATTCTTAGCTATTCTAAATAAATAAATAACATCTCTCTCATGTTTAAGTTAATCAGAGTGTACAATAAACACTGCTCGCTCTGTGCATTCAGTAGAGAAGTAATAATGCAAAACTATTTCCATAACCTGTTACTATGGAGCTTGTGGCTCATAAAATTATAATAATAATAATAATAATGATACTGTAATGCATCAGTTTTATCTAGCGCTTTTCGGACACTTTAAGACCCTTCACATGTTATTGTTCATTCAATCCATACACTGTGGTGATAAACTACTACTGTAGCCACAGCTGCCCTGGGGCACACTGACAGCAGCGAGGCAGCCAGTATGTGCCATTGGCCCCTCCGACCACCAGCAAACCACGGTGGCACTTTACAGCCGCACCCCCCACTGTGGCATCAGGTTGGGGTTAGACTTTGTCATTGTTGGTTAGATGACAAAGACTAGATACATGATTTATATTGTTGGCTGTAAATCATTCATAGTTTTATTTAAACTACAGTCTATACTAAATGAGAAATGTTATTGCATTCCAATTCATTTTAACCGCACTGTCTGCTTTGGTGTCTATAACAGTTTATTCAAAACATTTTTATTTATTTATATTTTAATTCTATCATGCATAAGAAGCAGTTCCACCTCCAGACTCACAACAGAGATGAAAGTAAGATGAAAATAATGAACATAAATGAAATGGACTGGACAGACGCACACACATGAAATCATGACTTATGCTCATGTGTGCGACTAATTGAATTTCTGATTATTTCACTCTTATCTATGATCGAGCTTTTGTCCTGTTGAATTTGTCATTTGGATGATTCATTTGCAAAGTTTGTGCCAAGAAAAACAAAGCTTTAAGAAATGTTTTGGTTGGTCCTGATCAGTATATGACTTTATTTTTAAATGTTGTGTTTTTATGTCTGTTTTTGGAGTAGGATTGATAATAATTTTCCTCTTTCTCAAACCCACACAAAGACCAGTCAGTGTGTAAATTGAAATTGGACAATAATTGAAAAGGATTATAAGCCTTGATGAAAATAAAAGTACTTTACAAACACCAGGTTCAACAGGTTCTGTTGCATTTTTGAGGTCATGTTTTGAAGGTAAAAGAAGCAGTTGTTGTTCTGATAGAAAACCCACAGCCTGTTTTGCTCCGTTGGACATGTACAGTGTGTGACGCTGTCTTGGCTCTGACATTGCTTTAGGTTAGTTCCAGGTGTCCGTAGTTCACTTCCAATTTCCTGTGCTGTGTTTCAGTGGGAACTCAATCTTTAACTATAGACATCCTGCTGTATATTGGTTTTAAAGTGTTTTTATTTCATTTTGAAACACGTCTGCCAATCTGGATCGGTCTCTCCTCCGCTCTCATTCAGCCATCTGGTTGTCGTTCTTGTATCTTTTCAAATTACAGAGTTTGGAGAGATTCTTAATCTCAAGCATACTGCATCATGCTGCTCATCCCAACAAAATGTTGCTTTTAGAATATTAGGGCTATGAAAATAAATGATAAACAATGATTATAAATGTGGTTAGACCTTGTACATGTAAATGGGTGTTATATGAAACAAATTTTTCTGTTTTGATCCACACTGGTGTTTGATTGACACAAGCACGTAGAAAGTGCCTCCTCCGTTTTTATTGAACGTAAACTGAGGATACGATTAGGAATTTGAAAGCAGATGTTTTCTCTGCTCTGTGACACAAACATCACTGGAGCGCACAGAAACAGAGACGGCCCCTCCTCTGCATGGAGAGTCACCTTTCCCTCGTGAGACAATCAGCCCTTTGTCATATGTAAAAATGCAGGGATGGGCGTTCCGTTTTAGCCTTCAGTGCCGCGGGGGCGGGCTGATGCCGCGATGATTGACATGGATCAAATTCTGCGCCGCTTCTGTGCACAAAGTTTGGGTTTTGACAAACACTGATTACTACAACACACAGTGGCACAAACCTGTGATTTTGTGTGGATGGAAAACAAAAATTGTGTGTGTTTTTGTGTTAAAAAACTGAGGGGGTTTATTTGTTTACGAAAATACCCGATACGTGTGGACAAGGCTTTCATGAGTATTCTGCTTTCACCACTATCTGCTGCATCTGCGAGAACAAACTCACAAACTAAGAAATAGCCCACTCAAAATAAATACATAAATAGAAGAGTACATTATCATCTGAAACTCACAATCCTGCTGCATAGACTGTTTAATTATCCCTCGCCCTTCTTTGTTCCTCTGATAAGGCTGCTTAATAAACTTAAGGGTAAAACACTTATGAATTTAAGATGGACTGATATTTGTGTTTGACAAATGTGGCCTCTGTTCTCACCGCGCCCCACTGCACTTAGCCGCTCGAGGCTATTGAGGTCACATGAATTGTTTTTCCCTGGTGGGTCATTAAACATCTCTTAGGGAAGTAATTAAAGTCTCTCTGTAAAAAATGAAAATAGTTATATAGAACTGTATATCCGTAAAATATTCAAGACAATTGCATTCAAACTAAATGCTAGTGCTAAAGATATTCTGGAAAATCAGTCTTTTTTTAGTTTTTGTGTAATTTCTATTTTGAAATGATTGACAAAAGGAGTAATACTGCTACTGCAACATTGTTACAACTTCAAAACCAATTGCCAATTATACAGCTTTGTCGATAAGAAAGTTTGCCATGTGCTCTGTGCGTAAATGCATACTGTTGCTGCTCCCAATTCAAAGTTTCTTTACAAGTCTATAGTGTATGGTCAGAAAGCAGAAAATGGAAAGGCTCTGTGCTGCAGTCCGCCGTGTCTCAGGTCTGCTCCAGTGACAAGGGGAATGAATATCTACATCCGCCCATTAAGGATGAGTGCAGGCTGCCCCGCTCCTGTGTGGGGGGCTTATGTTCCACTCGACTTTGGGACTTGTCCTTGAAGAAAAGAGAGGCAGATAAATCCGACGGCCGATGATGGGAGAATAATCGCAGAATTACTGTGGCCACAAAACATCATATGTAGGGATAAAACTAGCCTGTCTCACAACGAGCCGATGGTGGGAAAGCTCCGGCCCGCGAGACAGATGCGGTCCGCTTGGTGCCTCGACCAGGTTCCTCAGTCTTCCTCTGTTTACATTTTTTTTCTTGAACATGCACAAGATACAAACTGTTTTTCACTGGAAAATATGCATAAGAGAAAACAAGAAAACCTGCACATGGTTTGAAAAGGGATTGGTCGAAGCAAAAACCGTATTAATCCAATCCCTTCCCATCCATTCAGACACACACTACAATACAAACAAAATCAGAAGCGTACAATACCCTCAACAAAACACCTAACAACAGTCCATGACACACACATACACACACAAACACACACACAGGGCATCACTCTCCTTCCTCCATATATTTCTTAAGTATGTCTTTTTAAGCAGTTTTTTAATGTTTGTGCTCTGTGCTGCGTTCAGAGCTCTGGAGCCACAGTCGCACTCCTTGCTCTGCTGTGATTTATGATTTTCTATGATATACAGTACAGTAGTTATGTGTAGCCTAAGAAAAACATTGGAATCTCCGTGGAGCCCCCGACAGCAGGTTGATATTCTAATGTGGCCTCAGAAGGAACAGTTTTCCAAAGCCTGGTCCAAGCACAGCTCACGTTCTCTATTAGTACCATCAGCAATATTCGCTGTGTGTCTTGTCTGTTTGTTTGTTTTCAGTAGTAGTGGATTATTATAGATTACTAAAATGTGATGAATCAGAAGTTTTCTTAATCGTGTATTTCTGTTTCACTGAAAGAATAAAAGCCTCTTGTCTGTGAGCGTGTTTGTATCTTGGAGTGTTGTATAATTCTCCTGTTTGTTGGAGATGTTGCTGCTTAGTCTGTAATAAAACAGCATAAAACCTATGTATATATTTCAGAATTGTTTGATATTTTTTCCATAGAGTGATGCCTGAATGTAAGTCCACTATGACAAATGTGCCCTTAAGAAAAAATACAGGTCAGGTTTTTTCTGACCAATTACTGCTTCAGTAAATTGTGTAGACCAAACCCATCATAGAGTTGACATAAATATACACGTGCCCTCTCTTTGGCCCAGCGTGTGCACCTAATCGGCTCTAACATTAGCACTTTCCGTGATGTGGGCCCTTCACAGTGGTGCATTGTGGGTGCTCCTACGCTCTGCACAGCTTTTGTGCTCTCATCTTGAAGCCCACTCTCCAAATGACAGTGAAAATCATAACTGCTGCACCTACGAGAGCTTTTTCAGTTCGAGAGCTGACCATGCTCTGCTGAAAGACCAGAGAATACGGCAAATCATTTGAATAAAACTTTTGCAAATAATAAGTGTTTTATTGAATTTGACCGTGGAAATGTGACTCATGCATCACCTTTCACTGCAATTTCAAGTGTAAAACAGTCCCCTCTCAACAAGATTATATTTTTAAAATCTATTTAAAAGGTGTATATTTTTTTGTGTCTATATATTTGAAGGTATAGGAGGATTTTCAAAAATTTTAGGAAAGAACAGCATTCTCCACTTTTTGAACAAAACTCTCTGGTCTTATTGGACGACCATGTATCACCAGAATGATTGACAATTGGGAGGACCAATAGTCTTGATGATCCACCTGGAAGTAGAAAATCCTCCTATATATAACTTGGAGCAACAGCAACATATTAGAGGTGACATATATTGGTCGGCACAGTGCTGAGTGGTCAGCATCTCAGCAAGAATGGCCTGGGTTTGAATCCTGGTCGGAACAGGAGTTTGTTTGTTCTCCCTGTGTCTGCTCCGGTTTCCTCCTGGTGCTCCGGTCTCCCCTACCACTAAAAACATGCACAATATAGGTGTGAATGTAATGAGTGATTGAATAGATGGTGTTTGGTCGGAGGCTTTGATGGACCAGTGTGTTTGACATCTCACTTCCGTCATCACTCTGTGGAGAGAATGAAACAATATCTGAACATTGTAAAGTGCTTTGGGTGACTTTGGTCTGTAAAAATGCGCTCAATAAATAAACAATAAATAAAAAATAGAAATAAATAAATAATTACTTACTTTACTTACTAGGAGATCATATTTTGGCAGATCTTAAAGATGCATTCACTAACATAAACAGTTTGAAAGTTCAAAAGTTTTGCTCTGACAATGTGCATAATTAGGTGAAGCCAAAGTTATGACGAAAAGAGTTGTGTATATTCCTTGTGTATAATAATAAACTAATAAATATGGATCAGTCATTAAAACTCATGTCTTTGGCCTTTTCTGTTCCACTGTCCGGCATTAACTGGCCAAAGTGTGATTTCCATATTGATTTGACATTCTCTCAACTCCCGCCATATCGTTCATCCACTGCTTCTGCCTGGCCCAGACTGCAGGTGGAAAGGTTAATAATCGTTTTTGAGAAATATTTATTGTATAATTATGTATTTGATCGTTTTAATCACAACCTAGAAATTGTTGATTACCAAAATCTTTTAAAGGTAAGGGAGTAGATAAAGCTGAGAAATAAGTCACAATACAATGGAAGCTCATATGCAATGTTTACTGGTTTGAAAGGGGATTTTTTGACTATAGACTTTTTTTTCATAGTTTTGAATTAGCTGTGGGAGTTTTTTTTCTTTCTTTCTATGAGCAAAGTCAACATCACTGTAACCTAACAATTCTGCAACACAAGTACAATATTTTTTTATAGGAGCAGTTTGTAAAAATCTGGCCAAAAGTGGTACTGCACTCTTTCTGACTCAGGTTGCCAGATATGCAGATGAATCCAGCTGGGACCATATTTGATAGCTGATTGGACAAGAGTTCTGTCAACAACGAATCTATAATCAACACTGTGGTTTTTCACAAAATCCCCGATAGAAATTCTGGTTTTATTCCTTGTTTTGTCAGTAATTATTTGAGAATCATAACGAGACCTTTTTTTAGTTCTACGGCAACATGTTACTTCACCAGTGAGATTAGCTTGACGCGGTGAGTTTGGGCAACCTGGATCACAGACTTTCTGATTGGTAAAATGGTTGAGGGCGGGACATCAAAATGAAAACAATAACAAGATTCAGGGGCTGTATATCTCTGAACTATTGTTATAGAAGTATTGGAAAAGAGCATGGTTTTGTAATGCCTTTTAACAGATTAGGGCCAATTAGCGATGCCAATTAATGATCTTACGTATTGCTACTTTAATGTTTCAAGTAGACACTGACTTTCCTATATTTTTTCCTGTTGCTGAAATCTGTCTGTTCTTCATCTTGGTGATACACTTAAAAACATTTCTACAGCATGAATGTCAAAAGGTGTTTCTTGTGTTCCAGCTGACGTATCTGCCTCCTCCGTGGGGAGACTGTAAGTCCTCTGCCATGGACTCGGACTTCTTCAGCACCTACAGCATCACGGCCTGCCGCATCGACTGTGAAACGCGCTACCTGGTGGAGAACTGCAACTGCCGCATGGTGCACATGCCTGGTACGTTTTAAGAAGGAAACCCGCACGGTACATCCTAATAAGCTACAAAATATAGTTTACATTAGGAGAAATTGGGTAAAATAATGACAAATGAATAATGTAATAAGTGACAAAATCGCACTTTTAAACTGATCTCTGTTTAAGAATCTCAGAGTTTAAAGATCAGGTACCTAATTTTCAAACCACAAAAAATAGTTTTCATATGTATGTATTTTTGGCCTCTGTCACATTTTTAGATCTGCTCTTTCTTACTAGTACTGTATGTAAATCATAATATATTGTCTAACACGATGAAGCCAGCCTGTCGTGGTCGGATTTATCCACAGAAGTTTACTTTTAAAACACAAACAAAATGTAATGAACGTTAGGCACAGCAGCTTTAACTCTAACTCTAAAAACATCAAACCATTCATCTGAACAAAGGGACGAGATTAACACTGGACCAGAACAGAAAGTTGGAAGAAAAGGCTGGACACATCTGAGAACAATGCATTATTTATTTAACAACTCTGAAAGTGTGTTTGGTTATATAAGTGAAAGACAGACTCAGAATACCAAAGTTAGCGCAAAGGAGGACCATAGCATTGTAATTTCCTTGCTGTAAAACAAGAAATGGCAGATTCAGGACACAAGCCTTTTTCCCGGCATGTAGTAATCTCACACAAAATCAAATTCTAAAATGAGTGACACCAGGACCTCAATCTTCCTATAGTCGTCTGTGCACATCCACACCATGCACATAGTAATAACCCCTCCAAGATCAGGGCCAAACTGAATGTGTCTCTTTCTTTTCGGGATCAGATTCTTCCACAGTCCAGTGAATTTGAAAAGCGCTCTTCTCTAAATGTGTGTGCAGTGATTACAGCTGGCATTTGCTCTCTGCTCCCCGCGTTCAATCAGCAGCACATCTCCAGCAGCTAATGGAAAAGTCAGCCGAGGACCATCTGGATTTAACATGGCCCGTGCTGTTTCTGGTCCGCATTGGATTTGGACTTTGTTAGAATCAGTATGCGAGAAAGGATGATGCCTCTGGGGAACCTGGAGGAAAGATTGTTATCGTTGTTCTTGATAATATTAGCATTTCATTTCATTTTTGTCTGAGCAATAACTCATAGAAGCATTTTAACAGCAATTAGGATAATTGGTGGTGATGGGTTCAGGTTCTAGTTATACAATATTTATTTGAAAATCTCTTGATCTACAGATAAGATTTTTTTCTTTTTGAGAGCATCTAAAATACTCAAACAAAACAATATCATACAATTTACTCTTGTACAGCCCTAAATCACAACAGTAGTCATCTCAGAGGACTTAACAAAATCATTGAAATCACCAACACAGATCAGAGAATCAACAGTTAAGACACAAAAAGAATATAGAACACATGTTGATAAATGTCATACATGTCGTAGAATGTTAAAGTGTCCTGGATCATCACCACAGTCCTTCTAGTTGGACACTAACTGCCCAACAGACTCTCCTGCATCGGCAAGGAAAAACTAATAAGAAAACCCAGTGGGAAAAAAGTGAGAAACCTTGAGGAGATCCACATATTGAGAAAGGGATCCGCTCCGACACGGACGGACGGGCTTTAGATCCAGGACCTAAGCTACAGAACGAGGACCAGGGCCATGCAGCGGCCGCAGAACGTGGACAGGTCAGGTGCAGGACTAAAGCACTCCCAGGCGGGTCGGGCAGGGCAGTCCTCAGGTGTAGATGGAGGAGGCCAGGTTCAGAGGTCCTGTTGTCACGCCATGAAACAGATAATGGGACAACGGGTGAATAACTGTGAACAGACTACAGTCAAAATCCTAATAATGCAGACAGATAAAGAAGGAAGGAGGAGAGGATAGAGCTCAAGTATGGACCCCCCAACAAGTATGGACCACCCTAAAGATACATTTAACTTAAGTGAGTTTCTGGATGCAAGCTTGTTCACAAAAAATGTGAACCTATACCTCTTTTTGATCTTTGTCAAAACTTTATAATGTATGTGAAACCGTTCCAACAAAAAGTAAATATCAGAGTTTATCCTGGTTTCCTAACATTGAACAGACTACACTATTACCTCTACGTTATAGTGGAAATAAATGATGAGATTAGATCAAATGAGTAATTGTTTCCTCTCCCTGCAGGCTGCACGCCTCACACAGATCCTGTTTGATGTGGTTTCAAAGAGCATGTCGCTAATTGTTTTGTTGTTTTTTGTTTTTTTTATAGGAGATGCTCCATATTGCACCCCTGAGCAGTACAAGGAGTGTGCTGATCCTGCTCTTGGTAAGGACATATCCCAGCATGCAACTGTGTGTGTGTGTGTCTGTGTGTATCATAATTATATTATTAAGACTGAAATCGGATAACGCTCTTAATTGAATAAGAGGGTTGGAAGTGCATCACACCTGATAAAGCAGATTATAATTTGGTCTGTGATCTCTAATCTGGGTTCAGATCATAGTCAGTACAGGGAATATCTGATTGTAGTTTGCATGTTCACCTCGTGTCTGCTCCAGCTTCCACCGGTGCTATGGTTTCCTCCGGGTACTCCGTCATCCCCTATACCACTAAAAACATGTACAATAGGTAAACTCTTCAAGCTCTCCAAACTGAGCAAGAACATCTGGGGATAGGTCCCTGGGCGCAGTACGTCGGAGACCACTGCTACTGACGGAGGCCTGAGTGGCTTTGGAAGGATGGGTCCCAGGATCTGTCTGTCACGTGGTTAGATGAAGGAAGGACCCTAAGTGCAAGAGTGCCAACAATTATGATTTAATGATAATATTTGATAATCCAAGGAAAAAAACAAACTCCAAAATCGAAACTAAACACAGGAATTAGGAACAAAGACAGTGGCAATACAATAGACCCTCAACAGACACAGAGCGACACATCCAGGCAGGGCAGACAATCAAAATCGGACCAGAACAGGGAGTCAACTACAAACAAAACCACAGTATAAAATAACAAAAAATCCACACCAGGATCCTCGGCATCCCCCCACCCCTCATTGCAGCCCGGGTCCTTAAAAACGGATGGATGGACGCATGGCTTACGTTCAGACGTTCAGACTTTGCCTTATGCCCAGATGACATAATAACATACTCCACCTGTTACCAAAACGGTCTAAAATAATGTTAGTTTTATGGCATCTCCTGTTGTGCTCTGTGTGAACCCGGAAGATAACACACAATGGTCCTGCTTCTGTTTGAAGTCCGTCATCATGCACTCATCATGTCCCGTCCAACACTTTGATCATCCTGAGAAACAGACAATCTCACCACATCACGCACAAGGACCTCGGACCTCCACTGGCTACGTTCTTTCCTTTACAATCCTCTTTCAAACAACATGTTAAAAAAAATCTATCACTATTTCTCACATGCATGCATACTTGGCCTTTGTCACATATTTTTCTAAATCAGCTTTTTCAGAGAGGGATTTTTTAAAAGAGAGAACCACACTCACTAAGCCAATCAGCTTCCTCCCAGAGCATCCAAAAGTGATCACGTGGCTCTTTCTTACACGTATGCAAAAGATAAAATGTTTAAAATTTTTCAACGTTTTACTTTAAAGTTAGTATGCCCCAATCATTTATTTTGATGGAGTGTTTTAAAGGCGTTTGATGGAAGGCTTCAGGGAACTACTGCAATTACAAAAAAGAAAAATGATCCCTGCAAACCATTAAAATTTGAAAACAAACGAATGAACCATTAATTGGACATAAAAGTGATTTATCCGACCCATGGCTTTGTGGTTAAATCAATTACTCACAATACATAATGCTCGGGACAGGACAGTGCAAGTTGACTTTCCCATTTTATGTAAGAACAAGTCAAGATGCTCATTTGTGAACTTGTTTTTAAATGAAATCCCAATTATTGACATCATTGAATCAATAATGGTAATAATAATACATTTTCAATACTTTTCAAAATACACAATGACACTGTACAAACATTGTTCAAAACAGAGTGCAATTTAAAAACATTAGCATTATTTAAAGAAATTAAAAAGCAGACCTGGACAAAGGTGTTGGGGGGTGACTGGTCATGTGACTGGTCATGTGACTGGTCATGATTTGGGGAAAGAAAGTCTGTAATAAGTGTAAAAGTCAATAATAGTTACTAATAAGATTGTAAAATAGAAAGCGTTCTGGAGCTATAATTGCATTTGGTTCAGAGGTATTTACAGATGTGTATATTGTACTTTAGCAGCAGAGAATATGACCAAAATGAACAATAGTAACAATACCAGCAGTTAATGTGACTAGTAAATGACCGAATCATCAGAAGAATGGATATGTAGTAATGCAGTAATAATAATAATAAGAACATTGATAATCCTGAATGTAATCCTGCAGCCTCACTGGCCCTTTGAGGACCCGGGTTTGACAGCCCTGGTCTAAATCGTCTTTCTGTTCCACTCTATACGCTCAGACTTCCTGGTGGAGCGGGACAATGATTACTGCGTCTGCGAGACTCCGTGCAACTTGACGCGATACGGCAAAGAGATGTCCTTCGTCAAGATCCCCAGCAAAGCCTCCGCAAAGTACCTGGCCAAGAAGTTCAACAAGACGGAGCAGTACATATCGTAAGTAAAATACCGTGAGAATTTATATCCCTACTCTACATCGTTGCTGGCTGTGGTCTCAATATGCATGTTTGGTCTATAGCTTGTGTAAATAGGGCTGGCACTGAATTCTAAAATAACTTGAGTAATTAGCAGAGAGATGCCTGAGGAGACACACATGCTAATTAAGATTGTAGAGAACGTAAAATGGATATAATTTCAAACCCAAGGGACACAATAAACAATTGACATAAGCAGCAGTGGAAGATACCTGGGCGCGACGTGCGTTAAAAGTTTTTAGTTCACCACAAAATCATCTCTGAATGAACTCCTAACTGTGAGCGTTAAAAGAAAGATGAAAATCTCCTGTCGTACAAAGGAATTCATAGAACCTCTGGGACAAAGAAACATAGTTTGGGAGAGAATACATTGTGAGGATGTTAGTAGAAAGAGAAATAGATGTTTTAAAAGGAATTTGCACCAATAAAAGTCAAGAGAGGGCATAAAAAACTACAACTTGTATGATATGTCTGTTTGAAACTGTATTATAAGCCTCATACTCTATTGCTATACACTTTTGTTTTAGTTTAAAGTACCAATACCAGTCTCCATGAGAATATAATAGTGTAGAGTATTGGCCTTTGAGCCTGAAGTCGTGGGTTCCTTCTCCACCAACTCCCACTGATGTCTGCTGACGTTGTGTCCTTGGCCAAGGCACTCAACCACACTTTGCCTGAAGCCCCTGCTGAAAGTTCAAGGTTGTGTTGTCACTGACAGAGAAGCTACCCTGCAGGAGGATCAGTGAGGAGCTGGTGCTGTGTGCATTGGGTGCCATTTACCCGACTCAGAAATGGACAAAGTGGAAGAAAATGGATGGATGGATATTCTACAATACTTTCCTATTGGTTTTGTTTTTTGATAATTTTGGACAGTAACACTTTAGATTATCCCTCACTAATTAACATACCTGAGTGTTATCCATAACCCTAACCCTAACCTATACAGATTAATCCAGCTTGGACCATAACAGCTGAATAGACAGAAATTTCCATCCATCCATCCATTTTCTTCCCCTTAATCCATTTCTGGGTCAGGGGGGGTGGCAGTCAGAGCTCCACCCAGTACACTTAGCACCAGCCCCTCACTGATCCTCCTGCAGGTGGTGAGTCCACAGGAGCTGAGATCTTTCAGTGGGAGCTTCAGGCAAAGTGGGGTTAAGTGTCTTGCCCAAGGACACAACGACAGCAGACATCAGTGGGAGTCGTGAAGTAGGTCTTATGGTGGGCTCGAACCCATAACCTTCAGGCTCAAAGGCCAATGCTCTACCAACTGAGCCACTGTCGCCCTTAGACAGAAATTTGTCATCAACAAATCTATAACTTTTTCACAAAGACATTCTCATATTCCTTGTTTTGTCATTAATGATTTTAGAATCATAACGAGACCTTTATTAGTACTGCAGCGTTATGGTACTTTATCGGTGAGATTAGCTCGATGCGATGAGTTCTGGCAACCGGCAAAACGGACTGTCTGATTGGTAAAACGGTGGGGGGTGGAAAATCAAAATTAAAACAATAACAAGATTCAGGATCTGTAAATCCAATTTCGAAATTTGAATATCCCTAAACTACTCATTCATTTTTCATTTTTCGCCCTTTTATTAGTCCATTTCTGGGTCAGGGGGGTGACAATGAGAGCTGCCACCCAATGCTCATAGCACCAGTCCATCGCTTCTCCGGCAGGTGGGGGGAGGGCCGCAGGAAGATGGCTTCTCAATCAGCGGTGACACAGCCTTGTTCTTTCAGCGGGGGCTTCGGGCAATCCCTGAACTACTGTTATCATTTAAAGTATTGAAAGTATTCGAAAAAACCATGATTTATTGATGCCTTTTGACAGAATAAGGCCCTGATGACTTGACATGCAAATCTGACATATTGCTACTTTAAGATATTTTGAAATGTAAAATGTTCAACAAAAGTATAGCGTTGCATTCTCGTCGTTCCCTTTTTATTATTTCCAAAAGCGTTCCTGCAGTTTTGTTTTGTTTACTCTTGAGTGGTGCCAATGTTATTGAGTTTGCCCTTTGTATGTAGGGACAGTGAGGAATCGCATTAGAAGAGGAAAAAGAGGTTCTGAAAGGCTCTTTGCAAATGAGTGATGTGCTTTGTGTCAGCAGAGGAGATGGAGCGTTAGTCTGGGCACGGATTTGTACTAATTTGTCAAGTGAATGGGAAGAGCTCTCTACCAAAAATATTTGTCGCTGTTTGAGAGATTGAAGGCAGTGACTGGTGTGAATTTCTATTGATCTCTCTTTTGAGCCTATTATGAATGTGGGTTTATCAAAAGCATAAAGTAGCAGTGGATGGACAAGTTATCTACAACTTGATGGACTTGAAGAGATTTGCTGTGAGAACTATCCATGTAAATGTCTTCAAATGTTTCTCTACAAGTTTTATGTTATTATAAAACATTTGATCATTTACATACTGAGAGCTGATTGGCTGAATGGGCTGGTACTGTTTCACAGAAGAAGCAGATCTAAATATGTGACAGAGGCCTGAAAATACATTGATGAGATAACTTTTTTGATCTCATAATAGAAAAAAATACATGTCGCTTTTGGCATAGATAGGATCATTCCGGGTGTGCAATAAACAGGAAATGTCTCTCTTCGCACTTAACTGTACTAATGTGTTAGATTTGGGTCAATGACATAAAAAAGTCCTGAAATATCCACGGCCGCTACTGTTGAACGTTCACAGCTCCCACTCTTGTTTTGTTCCTTGTTTGTCCAGTGAAGGGGGCACTAAACACAGATTTGTTCATGTCCGTTCTATAAACAGCGCCCCAGACGTTTTGGACTTAACAACCAGTGGACGAGATGTGCTACGTCCACAACTCCCAATTTTTCTACAGTTATTTAATAATATTGTTTTTGCATAATGTAGAATGTATAATTACAGATTGATTATAGCTATATCCCATAACCAATAACCATGAAATAATCTTCTCTGTCCTGTTAATTATTCAATTCACAGCCTTCAACATGACACGTCCTAAATATAACAATTATGTCCCAAAAGTTTTTATAAAATATTTTTGAAAGGCATTTTGAGCCCATCTGAGATTATTCTATGTATATTTATAAACTCCATAGTATTAAATTATGAGGTTGAAACATTTTATTGTTCATACATTTATTTTACTGCTGCTTGAAGTAAGATTAGCGTGGAGTAATTTAAATGTGCAAACAGGGAATGTGCAACATGTTTTACAACCTATTATATATATTTTCAAAGGATTACTTATCACAGAGCAGCTGAAATTGAAGTACTATTTTACATTATTGTCTTAAGCATAATAGTGGTGGTGTCCACTAATTTAAGCATCATTAATGAATACCTCCAATCTGTTTACAAAGAAAAATTTCACTCTAACGTAACCAATTAATGTCATTCCCCAAGGAGCAGTTTTGAATGACACAATTGCTTCTTATACTCGGTACGTGGTTCCAAACCCTGGGGACATGTCAGAAATACTTAAAGGAGCTATACCCGTTCCTGCAATGTTTGAAGGTTTAGCCCCGCCCCCATCTCGCTCACAGGCTTCTAAATTTCCCCTACGCTCTCATAACACGGAGCCATCTGGTTTTATTTGCGATCTACTGTATATGCAAACAATAGCATTAGCACAACTTAAGCTGTACAACAATCACTGATGAAATGGTACAAAAGCAACGCACTGCTAACAAAATATATAACTGAAAGATTACCGCTTGTTTTTGTACATAATATATCCTGCATTAACATGTTGCACATTTCTTACTTTTGCACAATTCTTGAGTGTTCCTATCCTTGCCAATGTGACATGTACATTTCTCCTGTGTGAGATTAATAAAGTCTTATCTTCTTATCTTATCTTAGTTCCGCGTCCGAATGTAGTCCGAGCATAGATAGTCCAGGCACAGATAGTCCGAGCGTAGATAGTCCGAGCTGTGTTAGAATCCTACATTACTCTTAAAATTGAAAGCTTGAGAGTAAAAAGTAAACACTGACTGATAAAGAAATAACCGAGTGATGAATATTTACCTGAAAGATTATCTGATAGCACTTTTGATTCTCCGCAAGAAGGTTCTGGGTTCGAATCCCAGTCAGAACAGGGTCTTTCTGAGTCAAGTTTGCATGTTCTCCCCGAGTCTGTGTAGGTTTCCTCCGGGTGCTCTGGTTTCCCTACAACAGCCTATTGTATGGTGTCCTCGCAAAAATGGCCAGAACAATTTAAGTAGTAAAGTTCTTTTTGACTCTGGTCTGTGAAAGGTGCTATATTTAAAGATTACTCACTATTCTTGGGTTTCATATGACGTCAGGGCAGTGGTGCGAATAACAAACGTAGGACAGGACGTGACGTATCCTGGCGGTGCAGTCTGCCGGGTTTATAAAATAAACAATTGTAAACCGCTTTGTGACTCTGGTCTGTGAAAGGCGGTATATAAATAAAGATTACTTACTTATACACGGAGATATAGTAGAAGAAGATGCCCTGTCCAAAAGCCATCCTTTTGTGCGGTGTACCCTTGTAGCAACAGCACAAATAGAGAGAAAGACAAGAGTTTGTTCCAACTGTGTCTCATATAAAGGAAGACACTTTGAAAAAATCACTGGGATGAGGCGGGCGAGGTGGATCAAGGCTTTCCCAGATAAGCGCCCCCTGCAGGCCACCCCATTGAAACGCAGCAATTTCTTCTATTTTTCTGTCCAAAAATGCCCAAAATCAAGACTCTTTGAGAAATATTTTTTAGTACTTCCTTAGAATTGAGTGTCCCCGATTAAGACTGTTACAACAACTGTACACCGCACAGGAGGAGAGCCTTTGACTCCAAAACAGACTTTACATGGTTTTCAATGGAAGCAAAACTGAGTTGTCCGAATGAGTAGAGGTGGGATGAGATTCTGAGTTTAATGAAACCCAAGAATTCCCTATTGTAGCTTTGTAATGTGGGGCTGATATTCTGGAGAAAGAACTTGCTCCTGCCGAGATCACGCTGTCGTTTGGCCTATGGTGAAATGTGTTCCATAAGGGAAAAGTCTGGCTCTGAGTCGGATCCAGACTCCACTGGGGCGTGAAGTCATGGCCCAGAGAGACACCACATTCTGATTTGTGCTACATCTGACTTGAGGCGTTGTCATGAATCTGCAGTCAAACACTTTCTTCTTCGCAAAGTTATGAGTTGAAAACCTGATTAAATTCGTCAGTCATTATTACTGCCCTCATCTTTTTGGGAAATGAGTTTGTCGCTGCCGATTGTTTTTCTCAAGCTATTACCACTGATGACTAATTGCTCATCGTTTTTATAATTAGTGTAATAAAAGTTGAAATGATTTGGTTATTAGCTTGTTCTAATGGCGTGGAAACAGAAACGTGTAGGCAGTCGTCGATCATGTAAAAAGCAGCATTTTTCACCAAAAACACACAAGTTCGTCCAGTTTAATTCCACCCACATTCATTATTCATTTTATACTAAGTCATTCAAGGCAGACAACACCCGATAGCCAGCAGTGTGTTTGAGCCTGTTTACACCTGTTTTCCCCCCATAAATCTTCCCGACAGGAGCATGTACCTATACTAACATGTAACTGGGGTCGCAGAAGACGAGTTTTAGGGCTATCATTCGTGTTTGTGTTTTTTCATTTTCTCTCAGAGCCTATTTTCCATCTTTTAGCCTACTGTTGTTTTATTTGTATATTCATGTATTTAAATGTTGCAGGAAATATTCATAATTTCCCACCACCACCTGGAGGACACAAAAACAATATATTTACATACTAATTTTTTGCCCCATAAGCTGCTTTTAGAGATAATATTAGATTAGATTAGATAGATTTTATTGATCTCACACTGGAGAAATGTACATGTCACATTTGGCATAGATAGAGTCACTCAGATTTTGCAAAAGACAGAAGTGTGCAAACATGTTAAAGGTTAGAAATATAGTCTGTGCAAGATACAATTATATACTATAAAAAAGTGGCAATAGCAAAGCCAGAATAGTTTTAAATATTATTAAATATTATTAAGTAAAAATGTATTGGTCTTTGAAATGGTTTGTTTGCAGATTTTTATGTCGTTTGGCCTTTTATTAAGGGGAAAAAGCCTAAAGATGGCAATGTTAAAATGTATCGCAATATTATAGGTTATCGCCAGTGGGGGCGGGTCCCGGCTCAAAAGTGGAAAAAATGACGTGCGCTGACATGCTGCAATACCACCGCGGGCCTATGGGGGTGGACCCAGAAGTAGAATTAGCCAATGCTAACATATAGCATTGGCAGACCTCTCGAAAAGACCTTTACAGGATGGTCCAAAAGTTGGCTCTTGGCCCAAAGCTCCGTTCCACATGTGTGTCAATGCTGAGGGGGGTGAATTTTTTTTGGACCAGTCTAGTTTAGTCGCTGTGAATTTTTGAAGTCACTCGTTTCAATTAATGGAGCTCGTGCAGCTGACGCATGCGCAGGTGCGTTGTTTCACATTTTCCAGCCCCCACGGCCATTTTAAAACTGGCCAAAGACCGCGGCGGTTGTGGCACATACTCTAAGTTAGAACGGCGGAGATAGGCGTGACTACGTCCGTTAATATTTACAGTCTATGGTTATCGCAAATATTTCTGGGACAATTTATCGTCAAGGAAAATGTGTTATTGTGACAGGCGTAGTGACCACCTCTTGACTGCAATCTCAAAGAGCGAATCAAAATAATATTCATGGCTACTTCCTTGTTCCACTGCATTCGTGTTTGGTGTGTTTTATGTTTCAGTTTGCTGTTTCAAACTCTACGTGAACATGTCTTTGGTTGTTGTGAAAATTATTAATATTATCTCATTTAACGTTTATTGTTTTCTGTCTTTTTTATAGTGAAAACCTCTTGGTGTTGGACATCTTCTTTGAAGCTCTAAACTATGAGACTATTGAGCAGAAGAAAGCCTATGAGCTGGCAGGACTCCTGGGTAAGACGTGGACAGTTTTACACATGCGCTGTAATGCATGTAATGAATGTAACTTTAAAAGCGTAATCATTGTAATCCTTTTCTTGTGCAGGTGATATTGGGGGTCAGATGGGTCTCTTCATTGGAGCAAGTATCCTGACCATCCTTGAACTCTTTGACTATCTTTATGAGGTACTACATTTTCACATTTTCCTTTATGGACAGATACATGTTTTCGATTCCGTTGCAGGATGTTCATGACTGAGATATTCAAAATCAAGACATTTCAACGCCCAAAAGAATCACTAACAGATGGTTTTGTATCATGATCAAAAAATTATGACAAATTGGGAATTTCCTTAATATGGGATTTGTTAAACTCACAGACTTTAGACTCAACCAGTATAATAATTATAATAATAAAGATATAATAATAATAAATAATAACTTTATATCACTAGCTCTTTTCCAAAACAAGTTGCTTCACAACAATCAATCAAAGAACAATGCTCAGATGAAATTACTAAATTACATTAATATGTACAAACGCATGGCTCATAAATAAACCATTCGATGAAAGTTAGGTTTTTTTTGTTTTTAAAGTACCATGGAGAGACTAAAAGTGATTGATTTTAAAGTACATTTTGAGGGTAACTGGGGACCAGTGTAGAGCAGCCCGACTGCTGTAATGTGTTGATCCCATCTGCTCCTGGCGCCACATACTTTTGGACTTGTTGAAGACGAATGGTGGATTTTGACTTTACCCTGCATAAGATATAGCAACATCATGTCACCGGTTGCAGGTTGTCAGATGAAACCTCCCAGGGCTGAGCTAAAGAAGTCATTTCTAGGTTGTGCCACAGTGGAAGAAGACGACAGGAGCTGAGGGCGCAGGTCTGACGCACAAACCTCTGTGTCTCGTTTAGACACGAGCCTTTGGTGGATTTAGGAAGTAAATTTAGGAAGTACTTTTACTTATATATATATATATATATATATATATCAACATATATCATATAATATATATGCAATATAATTGTATTGAATTGTATTATATTGATATATCATGTAACTGTTATTGCATCGCTCACAGAGCAGGCAGTTAATATGTAGGTTGCATATTTCACAACAAAATGTAATTTCAAATGTGTGTATTTTATAATGGATTAATAGTGGTCATTAGTTGAGTTATACTTACGGTTCTATAAATGTCTTGTCATGTATTTCTCTTGGACCAGTAGTCGCAGGACTTTCTTACGTGTCAAATGCTTTGAAATGGACCAGTGTGGATGTTAGGTCGTCAAAGTTTGCAGCGCCCTGCCCTAGAACATTTGAATGCTTTCTAAATAGAAAAGGCACCAAAATGTCCAGACTTTCTTTACAAGCGCCAGCACTTTGCAGGTTTATGGAATATGTTGACATTTAAAATGTTGCATATATTATCTTTATCCAGTCTCATTATAAAACATTATAAAGGCTTCGTGTTTTCTCACATCTAAGACACAACAGATCAGAAGCTTGGAGACGCACTGGTTCTATTTGAGTTTGAGCTTGTGTGAACCTCTGTGTGGGCCTGGTGTTTGCTAAACTAAGAATATGTATTATATTATAGTTACAATCTAAGACACACATGGACCAGTATTTTAAAACTCTAAAATAGATATATATACCTACAGTGACTTCCTCCTTATTCTTAGTCCTTAGCCTAATCTCAACAAAGTCCATACACTTTTACAGATCAGTGTGTGTGTGTGTGTGTGTGTGTGTGTGTGCGTGTGCGTGCACGCGCGTGTGTGTGTGAGAGACTGTAGAGTTATTCATGAATCACAGACTAAGAATCACAGTCGTACAGAGCTGTGTGTAATGCACTGGCATTATAAATGCAGAGAATAAAGATTAAAGTGATGCATAAATCACACAATTATAACATGATGTCAAGATTCTAAGAGTTGGTTTAATAACGATCCCAGACTAAACAGCAGTGTGTGTCCCTGTGTGTCCCTGTGTGCAGGTGATTAAGTACAAGCTGTGCAGGTGTATGAAGAAGAAACACAAGAGCCGCAACAGTAACGACCGAGGAGCTGTGCTGAGCCTGGACGACGTCAAGCGCCATGTGAGTCAGCATCATACCAATGACCCCTGACAGCCACAAAACACGTGTGTAGCATGTTTTTTCTATGCCCCTCGACTAGAAAGTCACTTTGTTTGCAGTGATGGATAAAGTACTTTTGTAATTATAACTGTCCATCCCTTTTCTTCCCCTTAATCCACTTCTGAGTGAGTGGCAGTCAGAGCTCACTGGTCCTCCTGCAGGAGGTGAGTCCACAGGAGGACAGCTGCTCTAGTCTGAGCTGCCTTGATCATTCAGCCGGGGCTTCAGGCAAAGTGGGGTTAAGCGTCTTGCGCAAGGACACAACAACAGCAGGGGAGTCAAAGGAGAAGTAGAAGAACCCAGGCTTAAAAGCCACTGCTCCAACTGAGCCACTGTCGCCCCAAGTAATATTAACGAAAAGGCATTTACCGGACGAAGGACATACAATATCAGGGGTTTCAATTTTAGAACATGCAGATATAATTCATCCCTAGGAAGACAAAACAATGTCTGAAGGCCTCATCTGGGAGAGGAATCAAGAACTCTATGAAAAGAAAATCATTTTATAATAAATGTAGATCTTGCTTTACACAATCTGGATTGTGGAAGGTACGTGGAAAGAACCAATCTTAATCATTGGTTCAAAAATCAACAGTTACATTTTGATTTAGACAGGGTTGGTGGAAATTGGGCCAGAGTGGGAATGTACAGGAGAGCACTGAAACAAAGCTGAACTTAATTAAATGGGAAAATGCAATTTGTTTGTAATTTGTTGTCTGGATGATGGCTTGAAGATGTAGAGAATGAAGAGAAGGTTTTACGCTGCTTAGAGAATATTGTAAAGAGTAGAGTAATTGGTCGGAAAGAGAAACTAGAGAAGGACTTTCCATGAACCTGAAGAGGCCCAGGTTTAATCAAAAAGTCCCCCCGACATTGCCCTTCTTTCAGAGTAAATGATCCCGGCGTGCCCTCATTGACTCACGTGGCTTCACTGGCAGCGCTGAGCCCTCCACTAGAGTTATTTCCATAGTTGGAGATGATTTCCGTCCTGTTTGCAGTTTTTATGCGTTCATTTCAATCTTTGAATGTGGCTTCCTCATGGCTCCATAATATTTATTCCCTGTGCAACCCATTAACTCGTCTCATTGTCTTTGTGTCTGGATTTATCAATAAAGGTTTATGGGGTGTCGGATAGTGCTCTGGGCATCTCTGTGCTAAAATCCAAACACTTGAAATTCATTAATAATTAGTACCCACATAATTTGTATCTGTTGACAGTAAAACTCAGCTCTTGTAATGCATTCATGTTATCTGCATTGATTCTGGTTTAATGGTTTGTTGAACACGCAGACCCGGGCCGTGGCAGAGGCCGTGCAGGCAAATGCTGAGGGCGCCGTCCATCGGGTTAATTCAAATCCATAGCAAAGCCTATTTAATAGCAATAAGATAATAATATAAACTGCAAAAGGAGTTTACCCCCTTCCACCTGTTTTACGGAGATCAATTGAGAAAATCCAGACCTTATTACAAAATGAAATTAGTGCAATGGTATGGAAAGACCAGGTTAGCTCCACACTTGTTCACTGTAATGCCCTCTACTACTATGCACTTTTACTTTGGAAATTGCCAGAAAATGGTCAAAGTGTGCAATATTGGTCCCAAATGCACTTTGTATGCATGAATTGTTTAAATGAACCATTAGAGGAGATTGCACAGAGCTGGAGTCAGTCTCAGTTGGTTAAAGTCTTCGGTTTGTCTCTTCCTGATATGAATACGAGAGGTCAAGCCGTCAGATCCATCAAAAAGACAGAAGGCCTTTATGTATATTAAAATAATATGCACGGTTCTCAAGTATGTCCTCCAAATTTTTCACTGAAAATGTTTCCCTAATGTCTTCCAAAAGCAGAATGAGGCAATAGACCTTCGCCAATTTTCAATGTCAGATCTCAGAAGCCGTGCGGGGCCTGTTTAGTACTTCCTCGGGAGGCGGTTTGGAATACCACGTGCCACAGTTGGATGCCTCTCCCACATTGTCTTATACTAATTTGGAAAACGTTGGTCTATCTATGGTTCAAAGTGTCCAGGAGTATTATTATTTCATAAAAGTAAAAAAATACCAGTTAAAAAATATCAATCAACCGTAATATGACTAACTGTTTCTGAGCGTGCTTGGGGCCATAACAGTTGCTCTCTTTAATGAGTGCTGGCAGAGAGCATTGCCCGGCTGGCGCTAACAACAGGAGCCGCCTGTTCACTCCATGGTCAGGAGAAAACGGCCATCTGTACCATCAACCTGCTGTCCGCCACCATGTGCATACATCGCACCAGGCTCTGTGGACCAGATGAACAATTAAGAGTACTTACTTTTGAAGAAGGAAGGACAAAGAAGGAGTTTGAGCTTCACTCAGTCGGAAACTAGGTCTCTCTGTCTGTGTCTCTGTCTGTCTGTCTGTCTGTTTGTATCTCTTTGTTTATGTCTGTGTCTGTCTGTGTGTGTCCCTGTCTGTCTGTCTGTTTGTCTGTCTGTGTCCCTGTCTGTCTGTCTGTTTGTGTCTCTGTCTGTATGTCTGTCTATGTCTCTGTCTGTCTATGTCTGTATGTGTCTGTCTGTCTATGTCTTTGTCTCTGTCTGTCTGTCTGTGTCTCTTTCTTTCGGTCTGTCTCTGTCTGCCTGTCTCTGTCTGCCTGTCTGTGTCTTTCTTTATATCTGTCTGTCTGTCTGTCTGTCTGTGTCTCTGTCTGTCTGTGTCTCTTTCTTTCGGTCTGTCTGTCTCTCTGTCTGCCTGTCTGTGTCTTTCTTTATATCTGTCTGTCTGTCTGTGTCTCTGTCTGTCTGTGTCTCTTTCTTTCGGTCTGTCTCTGTCTGCCTGTCTCTCTGTCTGCCTGTCTGTGTCTTTCTTTATATCTGTCTGTCTGTGTCTCTGTCTGTCTGTGTCTCTTTCTTTCGATCTGTCTGTCTCTCTGTCTGGCTGTCTGTCTGTGAATGTGAGGGTGGGAGGAGCCAATTGTGCAGATGAAATGTATTCAGGGAGGTGTTTGTGCCAATGAGTAATGTAATGTGTTTGAGAACAGCAGCTAACAGCAGTTCTTTGTGATTCAAATGAACATCGGAAAACCAGCAAAAGTGACAAACGTTTATGGGGGTCACAAAGAGATGGATAAAAAAAATCTTTAACCGTCCATATGGTGTTTTTATGTAGATAGTCAAGTCCATTTAGTGTTGTCTTTTTCTTTGCCATAAAACAAAATTCAGACTCATTCTCACTGACAAGCCAAAACCTGATCAAACAAAATGGTTGTAGTTGTAGCTTAATAGTTTAGGCATAAACCAAATGTACAAGATAACATCACTACTAGACTACTACAACCAGGCAAGGCAAGTTTATTTGTATATTTTATTTGTTTGTTGTCAGAGAAGAGGCCTGTCTCACATTTTCAGGAAGACTTACAGATTTTAGCTGCATGAATCTGAAATGCGTGGAGGCGACAGTAGCTCAGTTGGTAGAGCCTTTGGGCCTGAAGGTCGTGGGTTCAAGCCCACCATAAGACCTTCTTCATGACTCCCACTGATGACTGCTGTCGTTGTGTCCTTGGGCAAGACACTTAACCCCACTTTGCCTGAAGCTCCCACTGAAAGATCTCAGCTCCTGTGGACTCACCACCTGCAGGAGGATCAGTGAGGGGCTGGTGCTCTGTGACTGGGTGGAGCTCTGACTGCCACCCCCCTAACCCTGAAATGGATTAAGGGGAAGAAAATGGATGGATGGATGGATGAATCTGAAATGCAGCCTCTCTATGTTTAGTTCTGAATGAAAATGAACAAATATGAGGTAATAATTTGCTTAAATCGAGTGGTTTTTATCTTATTTTGAGTAGATTCTGACTGTCGGGTTTGTGAAAAGCAATTTACTCCTATTTAAAGAACTGTTGCCTTATTTTCTTATTCCAAGGGAGACATTTCTTGTATTTTTTAAAACAAGATAATTTTGCTCGTCTCAATGACAAATCCTGTTCAGAATGTGCTCAAATAAAGTTTTATCTTGCCAAATTTACGCAATTTTAACTTCATTTTCATCACTTTTGGCAGTGTAGGCACCAGCGGGAGTCCAGTCCTTGTGCCCCTCAGAGTCCGAGTCCAAGTCCTGTCTAGATCATTATAGACAGAATACATACTGAATACATGCAAGTACATATAGAAAGATGCATACCAACAGTTATTAAACCAGTACTTGCAGTGGTTGTCGTTGCTACTGTGGAACTCATTCATTTCATGCACACATTTGTGAATAGTGCGTGGAATATTAATGACCTTTTCTCTCTGCTTTCTCTTGGCCCAGGCTCCGTGCGAGAACATGCGCCCGCCGTCGTCGTACGCGGGCAACATGCTACCTCACCACCCGGCGCAGGCCAACTTTGAAGACTTCACTTGCTGAGCCTATTCTCGAGTCCAAGTGCGAGTTATGCAACCAAAGTCAACAATACCAGACTATACTGTATCTACACGGAGCGGAAAGGAAGTGACTGAAATACTGACACTTTTTACATGAGCGAATGGACAATTACTGTAAGAGAGAATATCCCAAAAGGAAGGAAAAAAATTCAACAAAAAATCCAACCAATTTATTCCTGCATACGTTGTGCAGCATTGTATACACTGTGGAGCACTGCCGCAAAGGACACACTCGAAAAGACACTTTGCCAACAAAAATTATACTCAAAATGTACAGAAACATCATGCCTTTATGTGGACCGCCGCGGGACATTCGGCCATTTTGCTCAATCACCTGTAGCAACAAATGTACATGGTTCAAAAGCTGGACTCCTGTATAGTCTATAAGAATGTATCTTTGTTCGCAGTTACCGTAAAAAAGAAAAAAAAATGGGACGATTTTTTTGTCAGGGGATCTCTAGTGCGGTGAACGTGGTATAGAAGTGCTCCATCCAGACCATGAACAACATACAATGGTGAAAAATATCAGGTATCATCGAAATGCATGCTTGTATTTGTCCAAGTGCATGTTGTTCCTTTTTTTCCCCTCCATTTCATCATATTTTACTATTTTACTTTGTAGAGAATTATCATATTACCAAGTTTGCCTCAACGATAAACAGGTGAGTATAGAATCAGTGACATTGTATATTATGTTTAGACTGAGAATGAATGTGCCAATATCTGAATGCATTTCCAATGTTACTCTCTTCTTTTATGTTCTCCATATTTGAGCGTCACTGGGATTGTTTTGTGATTGTAATTTTTGTATTTTGTTTTATGACTTCTGTCTAATTGGTCAATTTATGTCAATATCAATGTTGTGAGCGTTTGAACAACATTATTTTCTCCCCAGGCTAACATTAGATAAGGCCCAGCTTTGGAAATGTGGGTTCCCAGGGCAAAGGCCTTAAAACAGAGTATTGTTGGTATTATTATTTTTTTAATGTAATGTTCTTGCTATTAACTTTGTCAATATCCTATCAGTGGTGGATTCTTATAAGCAGAACTCTGTAACTGACTGCGATGAAGACATAGTGCTTTTCTTTTGAGCTGTCACGATTAATTGATGATTAATTTCAATATTTGAATAACTATTTTAGTAATTGATTCATCACCAACTGCTTTGCACACACATTTCAGCACATGCATCTGTTGAGAGAAGTTATTTTAACACAAGCAAGAATGTCGTTGCATAGAAAATATTAAAAATTGGGTAAATGTAAGGAGCAATATGTAAAAATCTGGCCAAAAGTGGTACTGCACTCTCCCTTGACTCAGGTTGCCAGATATGAAGAAGAATCCAGCTGGGACCATTCTAACTGAAAAGACAAGAGTTTTGACAACAACCAATAACATATTATACCATCTACAAATCTATAATCAACAAATTTTTCACAAAGGCCGCGATAGAAATCCTCGCTTTGTTCTGGTTTTGTCATTAATCATTTGAGAATCATAACGAGACCTTTTTTCGTACCGCGGCCACATGTTACTTTACCGGTGAGATTAGCTCGACGCGGTGAGTTCTGGCAACCCGGATCACGGACTTTCTGAATGGTGGGGGGCGAGACATCAAAATGAAAACAATAATAACAAGATTTAGGGACTGGAAAACTATTTTGGAAATTTGAATATCCTTGAGCTACTCTTATCAAAGAAGTACTTGAAAAGAACATGTTTTACTTTTACTCAGTTACAGAGTTCTGCTTAAAGTATGTGTTTAAATCTGTCCCAAAATGATAATGATGCATTTTAGTGGATGTGAAATGGTGTCATAACATCAGGACAAATGTGCAACAACAGATTTCAGTCAAAAATAATATATCATCACACAAAGTAGACAGCATTTATTTTACACAACCTCATCATCTACCCATAATGCCGTTTTCCAGAGCCACTAAAAGCCAGTTAGACCGCTCACCGACTGTGCTGCTGTGATACAACGTTTTTTTTAAAGTGCTTTGAATTCCCTGAAGTCGACGTGTCACGGCTGTGTGAGGACATTACATATTGTTTGTGTTTAATGCCAGGACAAAGTGTGAGTTGGAAGTAACTGAATCTTTCATGTGGCTTTACATTTCTGTATCCGTGTTATTCTAGTTGCTGAAGTCTATTCAAAGCACAATACCGCCATTATGTAAAGGTGACGTAAAAGAAAATGTAATATTCTTATTGATATATTACCCTATAATTAATATCGTGTTGAGAAGAGTTTTCCTTCTGTTGCTACTTTTCTTTGGTATAAAACATATTTGATAAGGCCTGAGAGACTGTCTACATCACCAAGTCAGAGGCTGGTCTATTTAGTTATATCAGAGCATAAATAAAATGTAAATATCATTTTGAAACGTGTACAGAGTCTCATTCTTCCTCGTGTTTCCAGACTTCATAAAAAGTAATGGTCCTGTTGTTTTGGCATGTCTTGCGGATGTTTACCATGGATCTATTATAATAACTGGATAGGGTATTACTAGCTTGGAGCTGAAGAACCCACGTGCTCGAGGGATTCTCACGGTACTGCAGACTAAACCAGACAAATTCACGCGGGCTACCCAGAAGTTTTCCCCATGGAACTCAATGTAAACTAAAACAGCTCAACCTCAGCAAACAGAGAACCTACAGCTTTTATAAAGGTCGGATTTTGTGGGGATTTTAATGTACCTCGTCATCCTGAACTTTTTTTCTTCTCAAATAGTTTGGTTTTCTTTAAATCCACACTTTAGTGCCACAAACTCTGCCCGTCCAACTCCCGCTGCTATGAGCAGTTCTGATTGGTCAGAGCGCGGCCGAGCCCCTCTGTGCACGTGCATGAGAGCCACACACGCATATTTGACGCAATGCATCATGGGAGTTCATCCACTGCGCAGAACCGGGGGGACCAGACGATGCCAAAATACAGGCAAGTTCCCCATGGATCTTTGCGAATTCCAGGCGAGTTCCGCTAATCTTTCGGCGCCCGTGCCGGCACAATGGGCCACTGAGCACAAACCATTCATTTGAATACGGCGCCATCTTGGATCTCCGGGGCTTGATGTTTACACCCACGACAAACAGCATCTGGCATTCCTGTGCAAACAAGACTCGCAAAATCAAATTTAACTGAATCAGAAATATCTTCGGTTACTTTTAAGCACAAAAAGTTTGTATAACTCAAAAACTACTCAATTGTTTCTCTGGTCATCACCTCAAGAAGTGCAAGCTGTAAACTGTGTTTTAAGTGTAGCCTGCACTACAAAAATGGCCAACTCTTAAAATTTCAAAGCAAGAAAGCATTGAACACTCAAAAACGGATGTCCAAAATATGATTTATTTGATGGTATTTTTTGATGATAGCCTTCATCAAATCATTCTTTTCTCTTTCTTTGTATCACAACTTTTCAATTTCAAGTAAGTCGTGTTACCTCTATTTTTGCCTTTTCTTTCGAGAGCAGTCGACATCAGCATTAAAGCAGAGACCACTTCTTATCTTCTGGAACCACTCGTATACAGCAAGTCAGTTTTTTGGCAGTGCTCTTGATGTAATTATGCTTTGGGCCGCTGAATGACAAAGGATGGATGGGAAATATCCTGCAAAGCCAACCTCACTTTTTATCAAGATCACCTGTGTTGTCCTGCTCTGCCCTCATAAGAAATGGTTCATGGCGAAACTGAGGGGTGTTTCATAAGTGCTGAAACATGGATTTGTAATGGAGTTCTTTCAAAACCAACTCAGCATAACATCACTCAACATAACTTGACTATTATGTACAAGACAGCAAATAGAAACGTGAAGACTACTTTCCAATCGATGTGAATGAAAAGAGCAACAACAAAAAACTTGTCTCTGAAGTGGCACAGAGGCTGAGTGGGTTTGAATGTAACCCAGGCCTTTGTGGAGTTTGTGTCTGCCTGTGTCTGGCGGGGTTCCTCCGGGTGCTCCAGTTTCTCCCACCACCCAAAACATGCACAATATGGATATAGGTCAAAGAATCAATAGCTGGAGATGGGCCCCCAGCACTGCACATAGTGACTCAAATGAAGAGCAAAAACCCAAATAAAGTTACAGTACCTTGTTATTAGGTAACATTGGTTATTAAGGTTATTAACATAATCTGTCTCAATAACAAGAATAAAATAATAATACATTGGTTTTATTTACAGCTTTTCTGGACTCTCAAAGATGCATCGCATTCACTCACTCTGTATGTGCAGGCGATCAGTGTGTGCCTGCTCAGCTTCAGGAGTCTGTCTAGATCTGGCTCTCATGTGCAGGTGGCTCCTTCTTTGAGCACAAATAATTCACTAATATCAAAGCAAACGTAAAGAAAGGTAAATGACAAAAACAACTGTTTCTACACGCACAATATGGTTTGGCACTGTTCTAGAAAGGCCCCAACTTCAACAGAAGCAAAAATGTGTGCTTCAAGAAAGCAAATTCTATCCTTCTTTATCAGATTCTCTCCTATTCATTTTGTTGCATCTTGACAATCCAATATAAGATGTTTAGTAAACCTCATTTTCTCACTGATGTTTGTGTTATCTTTTATTGTAGCTATCGAGAAGACAAATTAAGACACAAACACAAGACAGCCGCATTCATTTCCGGCCCAGAGTGCGTGTGCGGGTGATTGGCAGCTATTTGCACAACAGCTTCAGGATGGTGCAGGTGGGACTTCCTGATAAAACCAAAGAGGAAAGAAGAGGATGAGTTCATAGGCTTGTTTATATCATAGAGAGACTAATAAAATCCCTGAAATTCAAGGGTGTTTTTCTTATTTATGTTTCTTATCTCTCTAATAATGTGCACTGCACATGTGCAGAACATCAGTGCCACTGATGCCCCTGATGTCACTGATGTGCGCTGCTCTTTGCCTGGCACCATTACTGTATATGCAGCAGTTTCATGATGAGAAGAACCTACATTAAAATTCTTTAATGTGAGTAAAAAAATCTGAAATGTGGTGAGTATCTGTTTTGCATAAATTTAAGAGATTTATGAATCTTTGAAAAATTAATATTTCTACAACAATACATATGGCATGTTTACTGTTATGTTTTTGTTACGGGCAACGACCTATTGTGCCAGTTGTGCACTAGATGGCGCTCCCGTTGCCCTTTGTGTTTGTGTGTGCGCCTTCGTGCTCTGTACAGGTGATCTGTGCGGGCAATCTATTGGAGGAACCTCGAGAGTGGGCGTGGCTGGGCTGACACCTGCGCGTAGATGTCCTCCAACCCCGGGGATCCATCAAAGAGGGCGTCCCCGTTAAAACCTCCCATTCTCCGTCAGCTCGGGGCAGCTGGACTTGTCCGTGCCAGTCTGCCTTCACTGCTCCTCCTGTGTTGTTCTGTTCCGTTATGTTGTCACTTCGTTTTTGTTGAGCTCCAGTTTGTATAGTGACATTGTTTTCTTATTATTATTCTTGTTATGTTCTGTATTCCTCATTCGTTTCTAAATTCATTTTACTTTCTGCCATTATTAAAACTTACTTTAAAATGGACTGATACCAACTCCATCTGGTTTTTTGCTGCGTTCACACTCCCTAGCTGAGCCGAACGTAACAGTTTTCATGATGTGAAGTTGTGACCATATCACTCACAGGTGTCAACTTATTCATGCCATCTGTCATTAAGAAATATGTGTTGTCAAAATCTGTGTAGATTAGCCTTTTTTTCTCACAGAACCCTCTACAAAACCCATTCATCTTTTAGTTTTAAAATGCTTTGTAGCTCAGAACCAACATGAAACCGGAACTATTTGAAATAGGGATGCTTTTTCATTTCTGATACCGATCTCGATACTTTATAAGTTAACAAGGCTCTCCACAGTGCACGTGGCACCAGGACTCCTGAGGCTGGACGTCGATGATGTCATCTGACCTTCAGCCACATGTCTCAGACACTGTGAAGAGAGGGGCGGAGCTGTAAACCAATCCCCACCTGGTCATGAGTTTGATCCGCTGGCAGGGGATGAAGCCGGAATGACCTGGCAGACCCAAACTTATCATCAGGGTCTGCTGGGAACGTCTCGCTGAGCCCCCTGTCAGACGGACTTTCAACTCACACCGTCTCCCAGGTCCCAGAGGAGGAGAGGAACACTGAGTCTGAGAGGACTATGTTCTCTACCTCTATCGCCGATGCGGCCGCTCGCAGCATGAGGTCACGATATCTCTGGTGATGGTGGTGGATTCCGGTCATAAGGGATGATGGATTGTGGGACTACAGAGGCAACTGTTCAGTACCGGCCATTGCCTGGGCTGTGCAGAGGAAAAAAACTGGGACTGGGAGGAGTTTGGACAGTCCATGGAGAAGGACTATTGCTAGAACCTCAAAGAGATTCTGCCACCAGTCCAGAACCTCAAGAGGGGGAAGCAGTGCTTTGCCAACATCGTTTACAGTGTGGGTTGCTGCGGACCTTGACTGGGGATATAGTTGGGTGGTGGAAGGAATACTTGTGGTTCCCTCTGATGAGTTGGAGAGAGTTTTTGTGCACAGGGAAGTCAGTCAGATTATGGCCATGAATTTGAAAAGCTCCAAGAAGTCTGGGATCCACAGGTGTATATGGTACAAGCAGGCCCGTCCCAAGGGGGGTGCGAGGCCCTGTGCGAACTCGAAACGCGAGGCCCTGCCCTGACACTTTTTTCCCAGATCTGAGGAAAGTTTTTCCTGTTATAATCTTTGACATGAATTCAGCACCACCTCGCGCGGTGCTTGACGAGATCAGCACGCGCGTAACCGAGTGTCTTCGCTCCTATGCAGCGTTTGGCGCGCGCACGTACACACGCACACACACTCTACGTGCAATATTGGTCGCGGTCTTTTTAGCTGACATGTCTCTTTCGTCCTGTGGCAAAATGGTAGAGCAACTCAAAAGATTGAACCAAAAGGAGTCTTTTTCTTCTAATAGTTAGATTTGGGCAAAATGCGCCAAAATGGCTATGAGGCGGAGTCAATATTATTATTTTCTCATCAAATAACGTTTTTGCCATGCCTCCACACACTCTGACAACATACACTCCTCCTCCTCCACACTGACAACAACAAAATACTCTTCACCTCCTCCTCCACACACTCTGACCACAACAAAAACACTCCAGCTAGCTAAAGCTAGACATACAGTGTGTTTGCTAATGCTTTTAAAAATATGTTTTTGATGTGGATATTCGGACTAAACATTGGCAATAGCAGCGCTCACACACCTGTCACACCGCTGATCCTCCTCCTCCTCCTCTGCTCACACAAAGGGGTCTGCTCCTCTGCTCACACCTGTATCACTGCTCCTCCTCCTCCTCCTCCTCCTCCTCCTCTGCTCACACAAAGGGGTCTGCTCCTCTGCTCACACCTGTCTCACTGCTCCTCCTCCGCGAGTATCCATCTCTCCTACACTGCGATCATTCCCGTTACTTTCTTTGTATCTCACTCAGACACTGCTAAAGTTATCTGACAGTTTTTTCGGAGGACCCGTTGCATACATAGCTGCCCGCGCGCCTGCCTGTTTACAAATCGCTTTTGGTGAAAATTTGACTTTACTTGTAAAAATGTTCTTTTGATCAAACGAAATCAAAGAGGTCCAGAGAAAGGGGTTTAGGGTTCCAAATTTGGAGTGCAGTCTGCCCTTTGGGGACCCTTGAACTAGTGTATTTATAAAATAAAATAAAAGGAAGGAAGATTGCGAGGCCCCTGTGTGGTGCGAGGCCCTGTGCGACGGCACAGGTCGCACAGCCCTTAGGACGGGCCTGGGTACAAGCAACTACTGAGCAGATATAGTGGATTGCAAAAACACTGATAAACACATTTATGTTCAGGTGCAATGAACAGGCTCCTCATCTTTCCACAAAGAAGAATGCATCCTATCTTGTCTCCTCTTGTTAGGAGGACAACAATGTCAGACCAGCAGAATTAAAATAATAATGAATTATGACTTTCTCATAATTTCTAAGCCTGTATTTTCAAAAGTCCTAGATTGTTATGTAACATAGTATCATCTAACTGCTCTTATTTATAAGCTGCTTTTTTATTATAATATTTATTCTGAAACATTATATATATTATAATATAATTGAAATTCACATGCGGGAACTGCAACACACACACACACACACACACAGACAGACAGACAGACAGACACACACACACACACACACACACACAGACAGACAGACAGACAGACAGACAGACAGACAGACACACACACACACACACACACAGACAGACAGACAGACAGACACACACACACACACACACACAGACAGACAGACAGACAGACAGACAGACACACACACACACAAGCACTACATTCAACAGGAAGCGATATTAAGGCCTTGGATTGTCATCTCATCTTTATTTACAGTACATACCGCCTTTCACAGACCAGAGTCAGATCAGATTCAGATTCATTTATTTGCCATTTGCAGTAAAACCACATTGGAAAGACTGTGCAAGACTACCCTAGTGTGCACCAGACGGCACACACCAGAACTCTTGCCACGGCGCCATCTTTATCATTTAGTAAAAAAATAATTGTTATTTTTTTGGGCATTGATCCTCTCACTCCACACAGAGATGGGAGCAGGGTCACCAGTACAGGAGGCGCATGCCAGAACTATTGGACATGTTTTTAGTGGTAGGGGAAACCGGAGAACCCGGAGGAAAACACGGGGAGAACATGCAAACTCCACTCAGAAAGGCCCTATCCACTCAGCCACCGTACCGCCCAAAACTAATTTTAACAATAATAATTGTTGTATAATTTGTTAATCAAGGTATTGTGCATGCTGCAGATTGTCAGATCCATGCACAATGTAGCTTTAGCTATTACAAGCATAGATACCATTAACACTTATTTTTTCATGTCACTGAACCCTGTGTAAGGCCCGTCCAGAGTTGCATATGCAGACATTGTTGTGCATACTAATGTATGAACATCAAAGCTGTTTCCATTCTAGTGCCGCTGTCTACAGGACCGGGGGCTTTGCTGGTTTGCACCAAGTCAACAATTTCTCTCACACTTTGTTCTTGCACATGGAGGCTTGTTATGGCACATATCCAAAGGGCCATGTGCACAGCACTGCACACATTTTCCCTTCAAAGAGAAAAACAGCAGAGGAAGTGCCTAACAGAGCAGGTTACTCATACTGTATATTGATTTATTTAAGAAAAAAATAACTAAATGATTTCTGTTCAACCTACCCACACAAAATCCAAGTAAAGTGTATTTTCTGTGTAATGGGGACTGGTACGACCAGATTATTTATTATTGCCATGTAAGTAACAGGAAGTCACAGACTAGAAAATTGCTTTGACTCTCTGTGCAAACAGTCAAAAGTAGAGAATAGAGAAAGGCATAGTAATATCAGCATACATTTCTAGGATATAAAAAATATTTATCACAATATACAATACACAAATGCTCTCGGTGCACACATTATATATTTAGCAGTGCAATAGGGTGACACCTGTAGGGTGACAACAGTACCCTACTGCAGTAAAGTTACTTTACAAAGGACGGGGGGACAATGTTACATGAAGTGTTCATGAGTCTAACAGTAGAGGGAAAGAAACTGAGGCGAGAGGATGGAACAGTCCATGTGCAGGTGCTCGAGGTCCTGGGTGATGGTGGTGCCCAGGAAACAAAAGGACTCCACAGAGGTGATGGGGGAGTCCATCAGGGAGGGCGGGGGCGGGGGGACTGTGCTCTTCCGGAAGTCCACAATCATCTCCACTGTCTTCTGGGCGTTCAGCTCCAGGTTGTTACCACTGCACCAGGTCCACCTCCCTCCTGTAGGAAAACTTACAGGAACTTACACTGTGAAGTGGTTGGTCACATGTGTTTGAAAGACAAAGACAAAGATGTTGAGACAGTAATATTGTAGTACACCTATAAGGCAAAATGAGTTACTTTTCCCCACTGTGTGATGAATAATGGTTCTCTGATCTAGGGATTAAGATGAAGAGATCCTTTATTCATTCCACAGTGGAGAAATATCATCTTATATTCTAATACCACGTTACCTTATGGTACTTAAAACATTGAGGCAGGATGCAACCTAATATTTAAATATTGTTGCAAAAAATATGGTGTCACTTTTGCTCAATAGATCCACGCTTTTGCTCTACCACTGATGGCTGTTTCAAAGACCCACTTCAACATTTGACCGCTAGGGGTCAGTGTCCTCGCGGTGTCTGTTATCGCGATAGTTGCTCTCGCGATGTTTCAGTGCCTCCACAGACTCTTCGGCGCTGGCTACGTTCCGTGAGGAGATGGCGGCGAGAGGAGGCTTTCAGTCCGCACCGACAGTAGGAGGCGGCGGTCCGATGGGTCCCGGACCTCCGGTACCAGGTGCTGGACCTGGCATGGGACCTGGGACTCCTTCGGGAAGGATGGGACCTGCTGGGCCAGCGCAGAATCACATGTACCGCTCTCCGATGCCAGGGCCTGGGTACCCGGTGAGACTCTCCATCTTTGCTCCGCGCTAGAACAAAGCCTCCAGCTCCGCTTTGTCACAGCCTCAGATCTGTGGTTCTGTACCGGATGCTGCCAACGTGGCTAAAAACACACAGCATCAAGTGAAAAGCAGTTTACAACAAGTGACCAGAGGATCTTACACAGTGGTCCTCTCAGTGGCAATAGTAGTCTGAAAGTGCTAACCCGCCTGCTAGCTTGATTAGCTAGCTCTTCACGTTAGCCTTTAGCTTAGCGACACAGGGAAGGCTGACAATTAAGTTTGAAAAGTGATCACCGTTTCTGTATGTTTTAATATAGTTTAAAGTCAACTGTTAATTGTTCAGTATTTGAATGTGGATCGGTTCTTTTGAGGTTTTCTGTCCGCAACGTGAAGAATGAGTGACCGCCTCACCAACATGTTTACACAGACTGTATCTTTATACCAGCTCTATTTGGTGAATGATTGTTAAGAAATTACTTGTAAAGGTTTGGATTTTACGTTACGGGAAATTTCACTTTTGGAAAAGGGTCTTCTTTGACACTAAGCTGTTCTGATAAAATGCAATTATTATTTCACTTGTCAACTTATTAATGAAAAATCATTTCAGTAATATTTTTAATATATTGGTTTCAAAAACTTATAATAGCTACTAATATTGATTGCACTCTAAGATTAAGAGATCCTTTATAAGTCCCACTGTGGGGAAATTTCAGAGTTTGATCATCAGTTACAGAACAGTAGGAATGAGTAGCACACAAGACAAATTATCTATATAATAAATGAAACAAAATTCTAATTCTAGCATAAAAAGAAGTCTACAATCTCAATCTTTAACATATTGAGTACAAAAAACTCTGACTTAAGCACAATAAAGAAGTATAAAATCGTTAATATCCTTATCTATAGCATAACCGCATAATTTTTGTAACCTTGCCCAGAGTACATTCAGCAATGCTCGCTCAAGTCTTCTACATCTGCACTAATAGTGAACTTTGTATTTAAAATCCCTTCTGCTTCTGCTAGTTACTGACACATCTGGAATGAAAAGAAACCACATTATTCTGTCACGTCCTTGAGCTCCACTCTCACAAGCTTCTTTTCACTGCAGTCAATAGCACTGCGTTCCCTGAATACCGCCAGCCTCTAGTTGTTCTCACCCGCGACCAAGGTTGTTCTGCTATATATTGTAAAGACTAAGTGATAGGCATGCCATTCCTTTTGTGCCTACCCCGAGCGGTGTGCAAACCCAACATTCATCTCTCCTTTATTGATCACGCTTCTCCTGCCAGCCTCTTTTCCGTGCTGCGTGTCTGGATTCTAGTTTACTTTGCGCGTCGGTCTGCAACAAACACGCTATTTTGTTTTTGTTTTTTGGTATTATGCAATTGGATACAAGGAGTCGCCTTTTTGAATTTCTTGCACATGGATTGGTGAGTGTTCAGGAGCTGGTGGAAACGCCTGAGTGACCTGTTGCGTTTAGTGGTCCTCGTATGGGTTTCTTTAGAGGCTATTCAACAACGTTTTGATTCCCTTGTGAGTCTTTGCCCAATGCTGAGATACAGGTTGTAATTTGTCATGACTAGTGTCCTACGGTTTAGTCTATATTTTTTTCTAATGCGTCTTCTTTTGACCTTGTGAGTTGTTATACTGAAGTCTTCCTTGTGTTTTGTCTTCGTTGAGATTGGTCTGTAAGCATTAATTTGAAATGAATTCTCAGTTTGTTGAAATCACACACGTTTTTTATGCTTGAATGTGCTTTGTGAATTTTATAGGGAGTGACTCGTATCTAGATTGCATTCGTTTTTTGGTTAAGACTAAAATACGTTCTTTGCTTCGTTGTCAAAGCAGAGTTTTGGATGAAGGACATGGTCGTCATAGCAACAGATCAGCCTTAGTGTGGCTGTTAAGATAATAGTTCAACTAAGATGTTTTAATTCATCAGCTTTAGTGGTTATAATTGAGCCTTGGTTCCTCTTGAACAGCTTTGTCCCACCCGCGCAGGTCTTTCACCACAATGTTTTGTTCTCCAAAACTAGAATATTGATAGTGCAGCGCATGTAGATGGTGTCGGTACGGCTTTAAATATATGTGTGTGACTGTGTATAACAAATGCAAATTAGTGCGTCCGTTTTCAAAGGTAGCAAAAACTTAATAATGTATAATGGGGGCTGTTTTTGCCATCTTTACAGAGACCAGGCATGCCACCTTCCAGCAGGATGACTCCACAGGGACCTGCCATGGGCCCTCCAGGATATGGGGGGAGCCCAGTGTCTCGGCCTGGGATGCCTGGTGTCATGGACCCATCACGCAAGAGACCTGCTCCCCAACAGATTCAGCAGGTGCAACAGCAGAGCAGAAACCAGCAGTAAGTTCTAATCTGTGTAAATAATGCTTCCACATATTTGTGCGTGACTGTATTGCCTTGTTTTGTTCAAATTCTTTTATATATGCACAGCTAAATAGAGTAATGAAGAATGAAGTGCAAACCCTTCAAGGATAAATATTGTACAAATTTGACTCTTCCATCTTTATCCTGCATTCAAGGTTTCCATTGGTGTGACTATTATTCATGTGTTTTCTCCATCTGCGACTCACAGCTGAAGTATGTCACTCCTACTGTCCCTGGTTGAAGTTGGAGCTGCTTCTGCCTCAATCTATTAGAGTTTGAACTTGTTTGTTTTTACAGCACAAAGAAGAAGAAGATGGCTGATAAAATTCTACCTCAGAGGGTGAGTCTTAACAAAACAACTGGCACCAATTCATTATTTTCGACCTTGAGTTGTTTTGGGGAGGAAGTAGTCATGGCTTCCCCAGGATAGTTTTCAGTAGTTGAACTTACACAATACTCTTGCAATTGAGGTTCAGTCTTTTCAAAGGGTTTTATCGTGGCACAGTGGTTGAAACTTTTGCAGGGGAAAAGTGGTAGTGTTCTATAAATCAAGGTTCAGTGCTGTTTTCTCAACAGATTTCTGTGTATGCTTGTTTTTTCTCAGATTAGGGAACTCGTCCCAGAGTCTCAGGCCTATATGGATCTCTTGGCATTTGAGAGGAAGCTCGACCAGACTATTATGCGAAAAAGACTGGACATTCAGGAGGCCCTCAAAAGACCCATCAAGGTAACATCACTTGGGCTGAAGATTTTGGACTTTGACCCAAAAGTCCTGTATTTTGTTATACGTTTAGCTCAACAGATAGTCTTCCAAAATTAAAATATTGTGAACAAAAAGCATACACACGCCCCAACTGTGTTTACGGTCAATAAGCTGATCCATCATGGACTTTTTTATTTTTTTCGTTCTCTTTTATTTTAGCAAAAAAGAAAGCTAAGAATCTTCATATCCAACACGTTCAACCCTGCCAAACCAGATGCTGAGGACGGAGAAGGCACTGTTGCTTCATGGGAGCTGCGAGTTGAGGGACGCCTCCTTGAAGATGTAAGAATAATATCCTTCCTAACCTAATAATAATCATGTTTTTAAATACCAGAGTTTCAATTGGTAATTTGTGTGTGTGTTTTGTAGTCTGCTGTGTCTAAGTACGAGGCCACAAAACAGAAGAGAAAGTTCTCCTCTTTCTTCAAGTCTCTGGTGATCGAGTTGGACAAGGATCTGTACGGTCCAGACAATCACCTCGTGGAAGTAAGCTCATCAAAGTGAATGAGGATGTGTTTAATTATTGCTTTGTATTGGACACCACAACACGGCTGGAGAAGTTTTATTAGAGTATTTGGTATATTACCCTGGGTATTGCTGAAAACCGGCAAAACTACCCAGATTAGAAACATGGCTGTGGGGATTGTGATCAGGGTGCTGTGCTCTGTGTAAGAACTCTTCTGTCGTTTGTGTGTAGTTAGACCAGGCACACATGAGAGCTGTCACAATAACAAATTAATATTGACAATGAATTTTCTCATAATTTATTGCAAAAAAAAAAGTTATATCATAATACAATTTATCATTTTGAAGCTTTTGCCATGTTGGGTTAGGGTTAGTCCAAGTGAAGAATGTCCATAGAACAAATATACATATTCTTCTGTGTTTGTTTTGGCCATTGTGCATGATCTTGGAAAGTTAGATGTGAATCATTTAAGCCGAAAATATATGGAGCAATGTGTATAATGGATAGTAAAGACGTCACTCTAGTGGTGGGAAAGTCATTTTTTTGTGAATGTTTAACACAATGCCCTGTAATAGATCAATTGACTCAAAGTCCCCGAAACTGATATGGAGGACAAACTTCTCTGGGGCCTCTCAATGCTGTCTGAGTAAGGATTTCTTTTGGTGGACGAGTTTGAGATGGGAGCATTTAGACAGGAGGTACAGAGAATACATGAACAATATTTTGACATGGCTAAAGTATCAAAAGGACACGTCTTTAAAATCATTGGTCTTTTCTGCAAATGTTTTACTCAGACGGTGACTACAATAAAAGATCCTTGATTAGTTGTTTAGATTTAGTGACAATTGAATGTGGTCAAATAGATAAACATATCCTTTTTTTCCGTTCTCTCTCAGTGGCACAGGACGGCCACCACCCAGGAGACGGATGGTTTCCAGGTGAAGCGCCCTGGAGACGTGGGCGTCCGCTGCACTGTGCTCCTGATGCTGGACTATCAGCCGCCTCAGTTCAAGCTGGACCCTCGTCTGGCCCGCATGCTGGGCATCCACACCCAGACCAGGCCAGTCATCATCCAGGCGCTCTGGCAGTACGTCAAGACCCACAAGCTGCAGGACCCCCACGAGAGGGAGTTCATCAACTGTGACAAGTATCTCCATCAGGTTGGTGTGAAGCAGTCTTTGTGTGAAAAACCATTTAAAATATAGTCAGATCGATGTCTGTTCATAGGGAGTCCAACCTCTTATGGATTTGCACTTTATCATTCAGCAAGTTTACATTGATAAAGTGAATATGATGCTTGATAGATTTTTTTAATTGAAAAAGCAAATGACAGGTTCCCATAAATTTCAAGAAACAATTCTTGGGTTTCATATGATGTCATGGCCGCATCCTGGCGGTGCAGTCTGCCGGGTTTATACACGGAGATATAGTAGAAGAAGCGCTGTCAAAAAGCCATCCTTTTGTGCGGTGTACGCTTGTAGCAACCGCACAAATAGAGAAAGACGAGAGTTTGTTCATGTTCCAACTGTGGTCTCATATAAAGGAGGACACGCTGAAAAAAATCACTGGAATGAGGCGGGAGGTGGATCAAGGCTTTCCCAGATAAGCGCCCCCTGCAGGCCACCCGAATGAAACGCAGCAATTTCTTGTTTTGTTTTTTTCTCAAAAATGCCCAAAATCAAGATTTTTTTGAGAAATTTGTTTTAGTACCCCCTTAGAATTGAGTGTCCCTGGTTAAGACTGTTACAACAACCGTACACCGCACAGGAGGAGAGCCTTTTGACTCCAAAACAGACTTTACATGGTTTTCAATGGGAGCAAAACTGAGTTGTCCCATCTCTGCTCATTCGCCCCCTACTGGCCAGTTTAATAAAACCCAAGAATATGTGATCAGAAATAACTATAAAATCTTCACACACGTCCAACATTTGCAAAAGTATCAACCCTCTTCACATTTGTCATGTTGCAGCCACAATTTCTTTTTATTTGACAAAAAAACCCCTCAACAAAGTAAATTACCGCTGTAAGGCTACACCATGTAATAATAAGAGATGATATGCTCATGGGGCGACAGTGGCTCATTTGGTAGAGCTCTGTTTAATTGTTGTGTGAACATTCAGCAAAATCTGTTTATGGTTTATGGTTGTGTGCGTGACAAAAGTACTAGAACTTTAAAGAGGCAGTGTATGTTTAATATGTAAGCTGTGTCAGGTTTACGATCTTTGTACACAAACACTCTGAATTATTGATTATATTATAGTTACTAACTAACCCCCATCGCACTTGCATATATTGTGGTGCCATATGTATCAAGTATTGCATTTCAAAGAATGTTATAACTCATGGATATGCTGCTGTTTCCATGAATAACAAAAAACTCTACTTCCAGATATTTGAGACTCAGAGGATGAAGTTCTCAGAGATCCCCCAGCGCCTGCACGCCCTCCTCATGCCCCCAGAGCCAATAATCATCAATCACGTGATCAGGTGACCTCACGCACATGACTGTTTGGCCTTCACAGATCACACAAGCTAATAATCTTTGCTGTGTTCCCTCTGCTCATCCAGCGTCGACCCGAACGACCAGAAGAAAACGGCCTGTTACGACATCGACGTGGAGGTAGACGACACGCTCAAGACCCAGATGAACTCTTTCCTTCTGTCCACGGCCAGTCAGCAGGAGATCGCGGGACTGGACAATAAAGTGAGATTATATTACAGCAGCGTACTTTTAATTTGACTGAAATTAGGGTAACTTGAACTTCTAAGTAATCCCGAAAGTGTACTATATTCTATTCAATTCTATTCTTATATAGTTCTATAGCTATACAAAAGTGTTCATTGTTGGCGATCTACTTTTGTGCTAATGCTAATCTGTTTCTAATGTTTGTCAATAATATACTTGTTTTATTTGTGTTTATCCAATGCATTTTATGTATTTATTTTGGATTTAGGACAGTACATATTAATCAAGATGTCTGCAAACAGAAACATTAATATGCTGAAATCAAAACAGAATTGTACCCATCGGTAAAAAATTCAGAGTTTGTGTGTAAATAATTTAAGCAGTGTACATGGGTAAAGTTTTAAGATAATATCGACAATGTTAATGTAGTGTAGAAAGGACCAACTGGACTGGAGTCGAAGATTAGTAATAGCTATAAACTCGTTTTGCATTGCATCAGGTACAAGCTTGTCTTGTTCTATGTTGACTTGCAATGTCCCTGTCAAAAAAAATTAATAAAATTAGCACAACAGTTAAATGGCATCCACAGCAGGTACAGAAACAAACCGACCCAACAGTACAAACAATATATCGAGAATAGAATAGAAAGAGAAAGTCCAGAACTTCATCTTTGGGCGCATGACTGGTTTGATCCCAACCAATTTTTTAGGACTTTTTAAAATATTAGATTTTGATGATTTATTATTAGTTTCAAGCTTACAATCACTCATAAACACAAACACATCCACTAGAACGCTTTCCACATACTTGCTTTTTCACTTTTTGAGGATGAGATAAAAGTTTGTTACAAAGTGTAGATTGGAAAGATGTTAAAATGGCTGTAACATGAAGTCGTTTGTCGTGCCCCAGATCCACGAGACGATCGAGACCATAAACCAGCTGAAGACGCAGAGAGAGTTCATGCTGAGTTTTGCTCGAGATCCTCAGGGCTTCATCAACGACTGGCTGCAGTCCCAGTGCAGAGACCTCAAGGTGAGTCCTGCTGTCCCACAATGACCACACCAGACCATACACTCTTGATTTAGATAAAGATTTAGACCATTTTTATCTCTCTCTCTCTCTGTGTCTGTGTTCTTGTGAATGGAGCTTCTTCTCTGCTTTATTTAGCAACATTAAAAGCAGTAGTTAAATGTTTGGGCGTCCATAAAATCCATTTATCATCCATAATCATTTTTGGTGTTTTGGACAATTGGGTGGCGCAGAGGTTAGCGCTTGAGCTTCACAGCAAGAAGGCCCTGGGTTTGATCCCACCTACAGGCCTTTCTGTGTGGAGTTTGCATGTTCTCCCCATGTCCATGTACAATAGGTCTGGCATGTGTCTTCTGTACTGGCGGCGCCACTCTCATCTCGGTGCGGAGTGGGAGACAAATTCCCAAAAAACAAACATTGTAAAGAGCTTTGTGATTGGTCTGGGATAGGCGCTATATAAATAAAAAATACTTACTACTTACTTACTACAATTACAAATAATGTTTTTTTGCTCATGAGCTGCTGCAACAGTCACAGTCTGAGAATTTGATTGCATTTGTTTTGGTATGTTTGGATTGTTTTGAGAGGTTTGCTGTGTCATGGTGATTAGACTGGACTAAACTAGACCCACACACCCGGATACATGCATGTTTTCTCCTAAATTTATGCATTTCAGAACGTCGCAGTCTGATAAACGGTGTGTTCCGGTCTGTGTTGTTCAAAGTGTTTTCTTATTCTTCTCCAGACTATGACGGATGTGGTCGGAAACCCCGAAGAGGAGAGGAAAGCTGAGTTCTATTACCAGCCCTGGGCTCAGGAGGCTGTGTGCCGCTACTTCTACTCAAAGGTACTTCATGCAAAAAGTCTGGATCAATGATAAAAAAGGAATCCACAACGTTCTATTTTGAATCTTGTTGAAAAACATTTTTATATGGCAATTGCATTCAAACATTTACATTATTTAACTTGTAATTAAAGATTCTGTCCACCTTAATACATATTTTTTCGCACCTTTTTCAATACAACAGTAAATTTAAAAAGTCATGAAATTAATTATTTGAAAAATGAGAAAAAACATTGAACACAAAATGAATAAAATAAAGTTTTGAAGTCCATTTTAATTATTTTGTATTTTACTTGTGTAAAATACTTGTGTACTTGTGTACATGTGTTAAAGATGCAGGCAACATACGTTTTTTTTTTCTTTCTCCTTCTCCTTTGTGTGACAATTATTTGAAATGTAATTATGATATGTCATGTCCACAATTTAAATAAATACAAAAATAGAAAGGGAACTTGTAAAATATAACAGTAAAAGTCATCAATTTCACATAAACCTGAATTTAACATGTTTTAAACTACCAATTAAACTTTAATCCAGTTGTGTTGATCGGGTCGTATGGTCTCATGTTGGGGGTTCTTGCTTTAAGTGCGAGACCCTCTTGTGAAGTCAAATTTGGCCTCCCCCGCTGTGCCTCTGAGGGCCTTAACATTGGCGCAATCATCCGTAACACGTACAAACTCTCAATGAGGCTTGCTTTGACTTTGGCTTCCACTCCAGTGTTTTCTTGGGACCATTTGCTGCTTAGAAACCTGCGTGAATGCTCCCAGCGAATGAAAAAACAGGCCTTGAAACTGGATTAGGTTGAATTCATCGGGTCGAAACCACAATCTCCATACTGAACTGTGAATTTAAACATCTGTTGTGTTGAATTCATCTTTCCATCCAAAGTAACCTAACCATTTCTGCTTTTTTAAATTTATTTTTTTCAGGTCCAGCAGAGGAGACAGGAGCTGGAGCAGGCACTGGGCATCAGGAACACCTAAAAAACAGCCCGCGGGGGATTTTGGATTCACAGTAGACACTAGATTGTTCATGTTTATCAAGTTCGTTTTTCTTTGTCATTGGATGTCTCCCCAATAAATTTCAAAACATGTAATCTGTGCATGTAATAGCCTTAAGTCAGACGCATTCCATTTTTATTTGTGATACTTTTAGTACAGGCCTTTTTGAACTGACAAGCATATTGATCTCAGTAATCGGAAAATGAGGTTTCCTTAAGCTGTACTGTGATTTGGTTAAAATGTGTCGTTATTTCTGAAGAATCGGCTATTTAAAAAGTTATAAGTCTGTGCCATGTTTTTCTTTTTTCTGTAATATCATTTTTTTTTGCATTGGAAAAAAGTCTCTCTAGCTTGTGCACATTTTAAAGGAAGTAGTATTAGTTGAGTACCTCTAGTCTATACCATATAGTTTTGTAAATACTACTGCGCAACACAAAGGTGGACGTGAAGTGAAATTGTAATCTTGTTTTTGCTTTGCTTTTTATTTTGTGGCTTTCTTTATTATTCAATATTTATATTTTACAACCAATCTTGAGCACACTGAACTAGATGCATTTTACGAGCAACTGAATTCCACTGCAGGGAAAATGAGAGCTGAGTGAAGTTGAGCAGAAAAAGCCATATATATTCTAGCTAAAAAGCTGCTTCACTAAATCACTGACTGAAAACATCTTTTAGTTACAGCGTCAGGTGTAAAATATTGAATATCAATTGAATACACTAAAAACGGGGTTAAAGATCGGGACTCAATATGGGGCTGTGTGGTGGTGTTTAAATGATCTGCAGACTCATGGACCAAACCTATTTTTCTGTATGTTATAATAAAGGATATGTTGAGTATTTTGAGTCCTGCTTTTATTGTTTCTGTGAGAAAAACTACGATTTCAATTAGTGTCAAATACCATAGTGAACTATAAAAAGTAATGTTTATTCATATAGCGCCTTTCACAGAAGAGGGTCAATAAGTTCTTTAAATTTGTGGGCATTTGTTTCTCACTCCACACAGAGATGGAGCAGGTCGCCGGCATTCCAGACCTATAATGTACATGTTTTTAGCAATAGGAAAAACCAGAACACCTGGAGGAAACCTACATACAGTAGGCACGGAGAGAACATGCAAACTCCACACAGAAAGGCCCTGTTCCAACCAGGAGTGCTATCCTCTCAGCCATCACGCCACTGTAGGTCTAGAGCACGGGTCTCCAACCTGTAGCTCGCCAAAGGATTTAGAAATGTACAAAATTTATAATCTATATAACTATTTCAGATTGCATTATTGATTATAATCTTGTAAATGCACTTACTTTATGCGCTAGTAACAGATATGCAATGATAAATAATAATTGTTTCAGTCAAGTTCACACCAATATATCACCACATTTTTCCCAGGTCTGCTTAAAGGAGTAGCTCTGCTGTTATTGTCACGGGAAAGTAGCTCTCTGGGTGAAAAAGGTTGGAAACACCTGGTCTTGAGGGACATGCTTGAGTTCATTCTTAACACCTTTTCCCACAGGCCTTTTAAAACTTGGAAAGATCTCAAACCGATTGTGCTTTCTTCAATTGCATAGGCCTATAATAAAACTGCCAACAGAACGACTACTCGCGCGCATGTTTTGTGTTGCCACTATTGGGACATCACAGTAAATATCAACTCATGGCTCTTTCAAGTTTTCTGTATAATATAAAATAATAAATGGGAAAAAAGTTGGATACCTTAGCTTTCAAAGTATCTCATGAATGACAAATCAAAGGAACATGTTATTATAAAAACATACATATTTTAACTAACTTTTTGACCAAAAACTAAAAAGACATAATAGCATGCAACTTTTCACTAGTTTCACATGTTCTGGCTTTAGGATAACTACAGTACATGCATCCGAACTGAGCAGATATGCATTTCCACAAACCTGTCTCAAACTTGGCCCTTCTCATATGATTAAGTTCCTGTAAATATTCATGTTTTACCCCCTGCAAAAAAAGTTACTGTTTCTTTACCAGAAAGTCTCAACAATGACATTCCAAACACCATGATCCTTGACTGTATTTTTAGATTTGTGCACTTGGCCTTTGAGCCCTCTGACATGTCCTGGTAGTATTTGTGTGTCCTATTTGTGCGTTCTAGTGTCTTGTTTCAGGTTGGAGGGAGTGTGTAGCCTGGGACAGAGGAGGAGACGGAGCAGAAGGAGGAGGAGGTGCTCTGGCTCTGCTCTGCCCAGTATAAAAAGCCTCAGTCTGGGGTTCAAGTCTGTCTCTTCACAGGCTTCAGAGGGACGTGCAGCGCAGCTATGGCCCCCAAGAAAATCTGTGTGGTGGGCTCTGGAAACTGGTGAGTGTCCGAGATACAAGAATGTATTTGCCATTTGCCGTAAAACCACATTGGAATTGCAGACAGAGGCTTTTGTATTGTGTGTAGTCAGCCTGGACAGAACTATAGTGTCTGCTGCTTGATTGATTAATTATTAATTAATTATAATTATATATTAATTAATTAATTATATATATGCATAAACATATCACATAAATACACATATGTCCAGGAAGCCTTTACTTTTCACTCCTTGAAGAAAGCCATGTTATTTTTTCTGTTTTTGATTAGTAGGAGAACTAATAACACAAATTTGTTTTATGTTTTTTTTACCCCTAGTTATTTTCTTATTCTAGACTTTTACCAAATGTAAAACTAAGCGATAGAGGTAGTTTTCAATTGCAAACCCGCTGTCCACTCTTCCACATGTTGATGGTATTCTCTTTAGCATTCTTCATTTGTCTTGTGGATTGTCCATGAATGTCAATCCAATGTTGGCAAGACAGGAAGTGAGGGGGCTTCCATCTTGTATCAACCATCTTTTTTTGGCCAGCTGTAAGTAAGCCATACCAAAAGAACTCTTTGTTGTGTCCTGGTAAGTCCAAGCAGAGAAAAGTTTAGAAAAAATAACCAGGATAGAGCGGGACACCAGGCACAAAACTATGGGGCGTTGGGTCAGACAAAAGTTGACCTGGATCTGTCGGTGGTCTTGTCTTTTTAGAGGAGCAAAGTGCAGTGTTCTGAACAGAGAGCCAGTCAAAGTCCTCAGGTAGATTTGGAATGCCTCTCTTCTAAGTTTGCTCAATCTATTTTTTCCCCCAAAAGGATAAAGAAGCCTAATCTTTCTGTTGTAACCTGTGATACAAAGTTTGAAGGTTGGTGTGGGCTGTTTTGCAAGTGTGTTAAGTAAGTTTAAGTTTAAAGTAGCCAGTTAATGTAGGCTAAATCTGTTTTTGGAATACGGCCTAGAGGCTATTCACATCTCAGTATTCTCAATGGGCACCACACAAGCCTTTTGTGATAAAGTATTTCAAATGAATGTTTATTATCAAGCTGTTATCAAGTGGCATAGGCACACACTTGTTCCAGACTTTTACCCTATAATTGTTTGCATCCATCTAAATTATATATGTTTTTATTATGGATGGCACCTTGAGATAATTCAATCAATCAACTTGTATTTTTACAGAGTCTTTCCTACACAAGGCAACACAAAGCGCCTCGCAACCCACTACACATCATGCACAAATCATCAAACAGTAAAATGTACATAAACATAAAACACACACAATAAGAGCACTATCACATAGTAGTTAAAAACCTTAAAACGTCGATGTATCATTGTGGGAAATAAGTATCCAGTCTTGCAGTATAAAAAAAGTAACTTCTAAGTTTTACCAAAGTTGTCGGCAATTATGCAATGTTGCTGAGTTCATTTTTGTTTTTGGTTATGTTTTTCTTCAGTATTTTAAATTCTGACCCCAAAACGTCCATTGAGGGCCAAGAACAAGCTGATATCTGTGCTTTGGTTAAAGGTCTGAAGGGGCCGCCATGGTTTCATTGAAAATGTCTTTATCATGTCACTATAAAAATGGCAATATTTGTCCCAGAAAGCAGTTTGGTTTCAGCAGGATCTGTGATGGAAGTCCCTCCTCTCTTGGTCTGATACTGGACACATCAATCAATCAATCATTATTTATTTGTAGAGCGCCTTTCATTCCCCGGGTAACACAAAGCACTAATCATCACGTATAAAGCAAAACCCAAAATCACCATTTTAACCCACAATAAAAAAATCACACAGGTGATTAAAAACATGAAAGCATTAAAATCATGCAAGTAATTAAAAACTGGTGTCCTGTCAATGCAGATTTATGGATCCACTGTTTTATTCCCAATTTGGAGTTATTTATTTCGTTATGTTCTGAAATAAAATAAATCATAAGTCATGTAATAATTTAGTCATTCAGAAGACAACTCTCAACAATAATTCTTAACTACTCCCTGCTTTTCTTCAGCAGAGATAGGGAAAAGTGTCCAATTAGATCAGAAGGTGAACGAAGCAAAATACGTCTGGGAAGAAAAGTGGTTAAAGTCCGCAAAAATCTTGAGGCTGGGGAGGTTTAGCTTCTTACATATTCATGAGTTAGAAAGGCCCAGTCAAAGTCCAGACCTAAATCCAATCAAGAAACCCGGGCAAGATCTAAAAACTGCGGTTCACAAATATTCATCATCAAATGTGAGTCTCTCAAAGACCAAAGGTTGTAGAAAAATACTCCAAAAAACGATGCCTAAGCTTTATTTTAAGCTAATACTAAAACAAAGCTTGCTATAGCTGGTTGTATAGCTCTAAACACAGAAAAACATGACAAGTTTGATTCAGAGGTTTGGAGTAGAATTGACTTTAAGACCACAAATCATTATATTATCTAATTGAATTTAATTATACAAAGTAATATCTTGATGTTTTTTGAGCGTATAGGTCTGTGATTGTCAAGCTGCAGCCAACTGGAGGATGGAACGTATTCAATTCCACTGTGAAGCAGAATTTGTCGTTTGATTAACCCTTTAGGCACCAGAGGTTTTTCCTAAGAGTCTACATTTTGATATTTAAATTTCTTAATAACTTAAAAGTGAGAAGAGAAAAAGGCTCTATGTAAATTAGAAAAATTATAAGGATGGCCAAAACTTTATGTAGGAACTAAACGTAACCATCTATTTTGCATATTATAGGCAAGGCAAGGCAAGTTTATTTGTATAGCACAATTCCTACACAGGGCAACTCAAAGTGCTGAACAAGATAGCATTAAAATCATAAATAATCACAGAACATTAAAAAGAAAGATAAAAATATAAAATCCCTCAGTTGTATGCACAGCTAAACAGAACTGTCTTTAACCTGGTTTTAAACATTGTCAGAGAGGAGGCCTGTCTCACATCTTCAGGAAGACTGTTCCAGATTTTAGCAGCATGAATCTGAAAAGCAGCCTCCCCATGTTTAGTTCTGACTCTGGGCACTAACAGGAGTCCAGTCCCTGTGCTCCTCAGAGTCCGGGCTGGTTCATATGGGACTAACATGTCACTAATATATTTTGGTGCGAGGCTATGGAGAGACTTGTACACAAGCAGAGCTGTTTTAAAGTCTATTCTCTGAGCCACAGGAAGCCAGTGCAGAGACCTGAGAACTGGACTAATGTGGTCGTACTTCCTGGTTCTAGTCAGGACTCGAGCTGCTGCATTTTGAATGTACTGCAGCTGTTTTACAGCCTGTTTGGACAGACCTGTGAGCAGGCCATTGCAGTAGTCTAACCTACTGGAGACAAATGCATGGATAAGAATCTCCAAGTCTGCTTTAGACACTATGTTTTTGATCCTGGCAATGTTTTTTAGATGGTAAAAAGCTGCTGATGTTACTGATTTGATGTGGCTATTAAAATTTAAGTCTGAGTCCAGTATTACCCCTAGATTTCTGACCTTGTTTGAAGGTTTATGACTTAATATGGTCGTGGCAATCGCGGATTTTCATGAAATATATATCTTTTCTCTACTGACAGACACTAATCACTGGGACAAGAACATACTTGGGCAAAACTCACACTGTACTATACCCAATGGTCAGGGAAATACTAAAGTCCTTGTGTGGCAGGAGTTTGAATACATTTTGACACAATCAGCCGTTTCAAACATATACCACCACATATTGTCGACTTAAGTCAACCGTGGCGCCGAGAGGGTTGGAAAAGATACTATCATTTTGTAAACTACACACACACAAATCTATACAATCTTACTTTCAAGCACCGTTGCATTTACAAAGACTTATTTTATTCTTGAGTTATTCATTTTACGCATTACTCTGAACATGTGCTTTTCATATTTAAATGTGATTTATTCTGTAACGTGGGTGTCCAGCACTTATTTCTTTTCTTTGAAGATAAAAACAAAGCCATCTTTTTCTCTCCATCAATTCACTGTGATAAATCCATCTGTCTGTGGTCAATGTTTGTGCTGCGACTGTTGTTTTTCTCACAACCCTCAAAGGAAATAAACAATCAAATACAGAAGTAAATATTACTTCAAGCATGAAAAGATAACAGATTTTCCGCCATGAAAGAGATTCATTCAGTATTTGAGACCGAAAGAACCAAGGATTGACAATTAAATATGGCGTGAAATAAGTTTTGGAGCAGAAGGACTTTAAAGATTTGGTCTGAGATTGAAAACTTCCTGAACCGCAGAGTTATTATTTACAGTCTATGAGTAAAACCTAGTGCTTCTCCCACGAAAAACTGATTCTTCATCTCAAGCGACAATCCAAAGTAAACAAATGATGGATAATACCTTAGAAGTGGTCGTCTCCATCCACATCCAAGTCGTTTGTTTATTCATACAAACATATTCTATAATCATTGGGACCATTTGTAGTGACTATTTGTCAAGAAATAGACAATAAAACAAAATGTAACCAAACAAACTCAAATAATCACTAGAATGCACCATGGGTAAGTGGTTTACGCAGTACAAAAAATAAACAATTGTCCATTCCAAAAATGTACAGTTCAAAAAGGGTTTATTCATCAAGTTGCAGGCAAACAACACAAAAAAATGCTGCATCTCCCAGAACTGGTAAAAAACCATAGGCCCACCCAGGTGCATGAAGGCCCGCCCTGTACTGCCCCCTTATATCCCCTAGGTGCCACTAAACTAAAAACTAAACCAAACTGAAGAAAACCCAAAATAATCTACAAAAATATCTAAATTACCAAAAAACAAAAATACTAACCTCAGCAAAAAATAACTAAATATACCAAAAATATACAACACCCCAAATAAATTAAATCAATCAAGCAAATAGCTCCTACACCATTTTTTCTCTCAGTTCTTCTGTTTTGGCACGGTCACACAGGTTTTTACCAAGTCTCATCTTCAGGAGTGTGATGTTAGTGAGAATTTATTTTGTCATATCTCCTAAGGCTGGAGATGTTTTATTCTTCAGTAGATGCCAAAAGCAGGTCCGGTTTGGAGAGACTGGACAGAGAAATGAGACACTTGTACAGGAGACATTTAAATGTCAGCGTGGTGAGGGATTAACATTACTTCAGCACAGTTAGAGATTCAGAGCAGAGTTTGTAAGGTGTAAAGATGGGATCGTTGTTATAAATCGTTCTTATTTTAAATCTTATATTTTTAACAGCTTTAGAAAGGTTCACAGCCCCCTGTCCTTCTTTCAAGCCTTCCCTCCCTCTCCTCACACACTCTGGTGGCTGAGTGGGGAGTGCTCAGAGTTTCCCCTGGTGTTTGGGTGGGTTTCCCGTTTCCCACCACCACCAACTTTTGTGAGTGTTCCTTGCTGATGCAGGAGGGTCTGTTGGGCAGTTAGTGTCCAACTAGAAGGACTGTGGTGATGATCCAGGACACGTTAACATTCTACAACATGTGTGGACATTTATCAACGTTCATGGACATTGGTCTCTCCCCATGGACCAATTCATATGTGTTTTTTTAACTGTTGATTCTCTAATCTGTGTTGGTGATTTCAATGGCTTTGTTAAGTCCTCTGAGATTACTTCTTGTGATTTAGGGCTATACAAGAGTAAATTGTTGTTGTTGACACATGCACTATAAGTAAAGTCCTCCAGCTCCACAGTGCGGTGGCACAGGCTGCTTATGATGGCTGTGCAGGTCACATGCAGAACATGCATTTTCGATGGATAAAGTACATTACCTATTAATATTTTCTTTATTATAGAGGTGGGCATAGTGGACACGAGTATGATAGTGTAATGAGGGGGGGGTTTTGATTATTGGAGGCAAAGGAAATGATTGAGTGGTGGACCGAATTAAAACAGTTATGGCAGAGCAGTGGTGTGACCAAAAGAGGACAGAGCAAACTGTTAAAAACAAAATAATTTATTACAATAAATTAAAACAGGGATAAAAAGTCTTTAAAAGGTGCTAAAAAGGTCCCGAGCGCAGGGAGGGGGCCCTCTTCAGGGAGACCTGTGCACAAAAACAAAGACAGTCTCCTGCTTGCGGTCCAGCTCCGCCCCTGGGCACAATGACGAAACGGCAGCACCACACAGCCGAACACACAAGCAAGAGACCCCACAAAATGATCTTATAGCACCGCTACAACGACTAGAGGTACTTACAGGCACGGCAGGGATTCACCCTGCCGCTGCGTGTAGTCAACGTCACGGTGCTCTTCCCCGGGCCAGGTGCCTCCTCAGACCGCCGCTCCCCTCTCCACCACGCTCTAGACACAAGAGCAGAGCCAGTACACAGTACAACAAGCTTCGCCAGCTGCTGGGGCCTGAGGCTCTCCTGGTTGCACCAGCTTATCCACAGAACGTTACTCACAGACAAGGCAGAGCTTTCTCGCTCTGCCGCTGCGTGGATAGGGCTCGCTGGTGCAGCCTGGGTCACTGCTCGGTCCGGTCTTGTAGAGCCGTGGTCTCCAACGCGTTGTCCTCCGTGGCTCTTGTTTACTGTTCCGTTTACTGTTCCGTTCCGTTGCCCTGCGCTCCCTCTGTCCGTTTCACCTGCCCTTATATTCCCTGCTCCCTCATCAAGCGCAGGTGCTCTAATTGTGTGGCGCACAGGATTGGGCAACAGCGTCCATAGGGCTCTGCGGCATGTCTCCAGCTGGAGCAGGACTAAAATGTTAAAACACCCATGCATATAAAAACACCACTGCAAACTAAAACAAAACATGTCCTCTCCCACATGCCGGATCACAATAGTGTTGTTTATTCTCATAAATTAAAATAAAATAAAATGGTTATGAAGTAAACCGGGACCAAAGCTAATGCTAGCATTTGGTTGCTAGAAAACAGATGTTCAGTATAACATTTTTCAGTCATCATGCTTCTGGATGCTTTGCTCATACTTTCACTTAAATCACTAATGTGTGGACATTCATTTCCTACACACAATAATACAGATTAGGAACAGTGGCTGAGTGCTGCTTCGAATCCCGGTCGGAACAGTCAGGGTCTTTCTGAGTGGAGTTTGCATGTTCTCCCCAGACCTTCTCAGGTTTCCTCGGGGTGCTCTGTTTTCCCAACCACTAAACACATGTACAATAGGAAAAACCTCCAGCTCTGGATCAACATCTGTACTACGGTGACCACTGGTCTTCAAAGAGACACTAGTGTCCTCAGGATGGGACAGATGCAGAGGATGAATGGCCCGAGTAAAGTGCACCTTTACATTTAATTCAGTTCATTGGAACACACAGTGTAGTCATCTATTGTTCAACCGCCTGCTGCTTATATTCAAAGATCCAAAAGCTTCTAAAATCTGATGCTGCGTTCCAGGCCTATATCATATGTTTTAATCTATTCTGAATCAACTTTTATCTTTTGGGGAGAGAGCCTTTTAAAGAGACTCACACTCACTGAACATTACACTTTGTTTATTCCTTTAATCAAAAAAGTCTAAGTAGGTTGGCCAGTTTTTGATTTGTTGTTGCCATTACAGGGGCTCTGCAATTGCCAAAATAGTGGGGGCCAATGCTGCCAAGTACGACACATTCGACACCACAGTGAACATGTGGGTGTTTGAGGAGACAATAAACGGACAAAAACTCACAGAGATCATCAACACAGACCATGAAAACGTCAAGTATCTCCCCGGACACAAGCTCCCGCCCAATGTGGTGAGTGTTGCCAGTTACATCGCTGTGTTGCTTATAAATGTACTTGTATCGCATTGTTTTGTGTTTGCGTCAGGTGGCAGTCCCAGATCTGGCAGAGTCTGTGAAAGGAGCAGACATAATCATTTTTGTGGTACCGCATCAGTTCATCATCAGAGTCTGTGACACAATCAAAGATCACATCAAGAAGGACGCAGTGGGCATGTCTCTCATTAAGGTGAGGCCAGGATTTACTTGGGTGTGAAAACCAGATCCCGTCAGACCTCTGAAGTTGTGCAGAGCAGGGCCTGGTTATTATTGTGATGGGAGACCCCTGGGATCACCAGGTGCCACAGTGGGGCGGCTGCGGCTGTAAAGTGCCAAACTGCCATTGTCTCCTTAGGCAAGACACTTCACCCGCATTGCCTAGAATGAGTCAGGTGTGTGTGTGAATGGCTGGTGGTGGACGGAGGGATGGAGAGTACATACTGGTTGCCCCGCTCCTGTCAATGTGCCCAGGGGCAGCTGTGGCAAATTAACCCATAGCCCAAAGCTTCCAGAAGTCACTGCCAAGACTGAAGTTCCCTGAGCTGTTAACAGTCCTCTACCCTTCGCCATTTTTATCTTGTTATTGTCTTCACACGCTCTTTCTCCACCACCAACTCTCGATTGTGAGATAAAATGAGTCTGGTGTGTGTGTGAATGGTTGGTGGTGGTCGGAGGGGCCGATGGCACATACTGGTTGCCTCGCTTCTGTCAGTGTGCCCCAGGGCAGCTGTGGCTACATTAGTAGTTTATCACCACCGTGTTTGGAGTGAATGAATAATGACACATGTGAAGCGTCTTTGAGTGTCCAAAAAAGCGCTATATAAAACCGATGCATTATTATTATTAAAAAAGTACATCTCATCTCTGAATGTTTCTGTGCATTATGGTTATAGTGTTCTACTGTATGTAGGCTATGTTCTATGTTTCCCTGCATCTCTCCACTTGCAAACCAGAAATAAATACCAAATAAATAAGATAAATATTGAGTCTAATATTGACTTTAGGTCCTATAAAGTTTTTTGAAATAGAAATCTTTTGAGACTTTTGAGAAAAGGATGACATCAGGCTAAAACGTGAGGATGTGTGTACAGTATGTCTGTAACTTGATGGTTTGTGTCTGAGGGCGTGGATGCCAGTCCCGACGGTCTGAAGCTGATCTCAGAGGTAATCCGAGCCAAACTGGGCATCACCATGACCGTGCTGATGGGGGCCAACATCGCCAACGAGGTCGCTGACGAGAAGTTTTGCGAGACCACTATTGGTGAGTTACATAATATATTGCAAACTCACTTCAAGAAAGACATACTGTATGCATTTTGTTAAGTATATAATATTCGAGTATACAGCTTTCAACCATACCCTGGTCTCTCGTCCATGATCATGTATTTTAAGTCATTAACTGCCACTGACATATTGCTCTTAGACCCTCTTTTCGACTGGGGATAACAGGACAATAAAAATAGCTAAAAACAAACTTATTTTTGCTGATTAAAGTAGACAATCCAGTCTTTCAGAATCTGGTTTCACATTTCACATAGTCTTAAGAAATAATATTCTATGGGTCTTGAGAATCAGTGAAATCATCAAAAGCGGCTGGCAGTCAATGAGTTAAGTCTCCAGACAGTGTGTGCTTCCTTACTCTATGTTCTAACATGTTTTTAATTACTTGGATCGGTCTTAGTAGATTGCCACACTGTCAAAGTTGAAAACCGATTGAATCATTGACTTTTCTAGGTTGCAAGGACAAATCTTTGGGGCCAGTTTTGAAGGAACTGATGCAAACGACAAACTTTCGAGTCACAGTGGTGGAGGAGAGTGATGTGGTGGAGATCTGTGGAGCACTAAAGGTCTGTGCTCTTCCGTCTAATGATAAAAACATATTAGCGTGGACACAAACAGAAATTGAGCTAAACGTTTTGCTTATCGGAATGCAAGTGTTTTAGTCTTTTATAAAACACAATTGAGGAAAATACATTCAACATCAATCATTTCATATTTGCAGCAGTTACTATGCCAGGTTATGTTTTTATCGACCAAAGCAGCAGGAGGACATCACAGTAGTTGTTAATTTTCCAATAATGAATTAGAGAATCAAACTAGAGCACAAAGAAATACAATGATAAAACACACAAGAGTCAGGTTTAGAGAGTTTACTTATCTCATGTTCATAAATGTCCGGGATCACAGAACATTGTAGCGGTGGGAGCAGGCTTTTGCGACGGTCTTGGCTTCGGAGACAACACAAAAGCCGCAGTGATCCGTCTGGGGCTGATGGAAATGATCGCCTTCGCCAAAGTCTTCTGCACAAACTGCCCCGTGTCCCCTGCCACCTTTCTGGAGAGCTGCGGCGTGGCGGACCTCATCACCACCTGCTACGGAGGCAGGAACCGCAAGATCGGGGAAGCCTTTGCCAAAACAGGGAAAGTATGTTTTTGTATTGATTTATATTTATTCAAGCAGACAATAAGTGTACATTATGCACAACAACAACAACAACAAAATAGTGGTTTGAAAATTCATCACTACTTGAAAAGGATTGAAAGAGCATTTGTTTCGGGACCAGATTGTGATTACTATTACCTTTTATTATTACTACCGATATTATATTCCATCACAAAAAACAAAAAAAAACTAAATGTGATGCAAATTGCCGTGATGGAAATGACGCAATGTGGAAAAATTTATACAAAAATCTGAAATTTCTTGTCTTTTTCCTTATATCAATCCAGGACAAAGATTTGTCATTAGTTGAAGTATCACACATATATATTGGATATATTTAAGTAATTTCAAGTGTTTTTATGTAATCAGTCCAGAGGTGATAATGGACTTTATACAACTTGGAATTCTATCAAGGTGTGGTAATTTATCTGTTAAACTTACATCTCAAACTCTTCATCTGCTCTGGCCAATAGAGCCAGAAGGAGAATTGCTTTGGCTCTTAGTGCAAAGAAGTTATAAAAGTAAAAATAGAATAAGGTGTGCATAAAACGAAATTAGATTAAATTAAAATAAAACAAAAATCTACATAACACATCTTCGTCAAAATTACTACAATGAACAAGTTTGCTGAGTACGCACAATAAAGGTTAGCAGTGCAGTGAAGTGACAATGGATGTTTTCTTTGTACCCATTTACAGATAATAAAGGTTTTCTTAAGAGTGGTGCAGGTGAGAGGCTAAGCCTGTGGGTTCTTCATATCTCAGAAAACGCTAATAAAGAAAATGTGAACTTGTGTTCATAGTTTGAATATTATTTCTGTTCAATCTCTGTACTTTGCGTCACATTTGTCAGAAAACGTACATTCAAATGTAAAAAAAGATGGATAATAATAATAATAATAATAACCTGAGCTTCAGTCTATTTCTCTTTGGTCTTGTATTAGAATGTAATGGATTGGACTAAAATATTACAAAATAAAAACCCAAAATGATTCAGCTTGGGTAGGTAAAATAAGTAAAAACATGAATAATAGTAAGTATTTGATCACAAAAAGCAAAATGAAATCACAAAAATCTTACTTCAACGGTTGCAGTGAAAGTGAATGAATTGAACACAAAGTAGTTGAATGGTTTTAGGTCTGACAGACTTGACTAAACGCTTTGACTCAGCGTAATTTCTTTTGTTAACGTTTTGTGCTTCTGTGTTGTAGACAATTGAAGAGTTGGAAAACGAGTTACTGAATGGACAAAAACTCCAAGGTCCTGCCACAGCCGCCGAGGTCAACCAGGTCCTGGTTCAGAAGAACATGGTTCAAAAGTGAGTTTTTAACACGGCTGATTTGCAGCTTTTACAGTAAAACCACATTGGAATACTTTTGCTAAAGTCCCCAGTGTGCACCAGACAAGTACATCAATAAGACCAGCTAAAAAGTACAGGAATAAAACAAGCAACAAGGTCTGGATTCATGTGATGTTGCCGAAACCAAACAGTCACAGAACCAACAGTGCAGCGGTAAAAGTTAAAGCTGCATTACCTCACTTTATTTTTGTATTCATTACGAAAATTCTATCCATATCCATGCAGTGCATTGGGATATATGTCCTTTTGAAGAATAAGTAGCGCTGGTTTGTTCTGGACTGTCATTTTATTTTAGATCGAGTTTTTGTGCAACAAGGAAGAGAATGTGTTTCGGGTCCAGATTGTGACCAATCACAGCGGACCACTGGCCCCCACTTTCTTGAGAAAAGCTACAGGTCTCACAGTCAGCTGAGGTAAACAAGCGGCGGAGGCTAACCTGAAACTTCCTGTGTCTTTGCTACAGGTTACTGCTTACTCAGCGAAACAGCCAAAAGAAAGATTCGTTCCTCCGCGTGTTCAAATGTGCGATCCATATTGTGAGACGCTAGCTCCGTAAACAACAGTCGGTGTGGGGTAGTGGGGGGCGATACCTTCGTGGGCTTGGGGAGGAAAGGAGAAAGAGCGAGGCCAGCGTTTACTTTTGAAACCGCTGCTTCAAAATCACAAAGTCAGTTAGTGAAGCTTTAAGCAGAATCTTAGAGTATTTTTTTAATTCTCTGTTATATGTGGACACACATATGACACTATCTCTCGTTCAATAGTATGATATAATAGTAGTTTAGCCACTTTCTATTAAAATCTGGAATCCTAGAGAGTAATTCAGTTTCTCCATATGATTTATATCCTGGATCACGTTGATCTATTGCTGCTGGTTTGAAACAGAAGGTTTAAGTACAATTCTGGTAATGGTCATGGCTGCTGTTACTTGTTAATGGTCCCTCCGACATAAAATAATGTGTGAGTGCTTTGCTTCCCCGTGATCACAGTTTCTCCAACATGATGCTGTTTTCCAAGCTGCTTTTCATGGTTTAGATGTATTTCCTGTTTTATTTTTGTATTAAGTTGTACTTCCAGATTCAGATTCATTTTATTAGCCATGTGCAGTATAAAAACTACATTGGAAAACATTCGCAAAAAAGGTACTCTGTGTGCACCAACAGAAAAAAGAGCATAATACAATGTAATATAAAATACACATACACTGAATATAAAAGAATAAAAAAACAGCTGTCACTGTGGCACCGATCAACAGAAACGATACAAGGGGTAAAAGCAGGAATTAAAGTGCTCTGTTTAGACACCTAACAGCCTGTGGAAAGAAGCTGTTAGCATAGCAAGATGTCTTGCATCTCAGCGACCGATATCTTCTGCCCGAGGGAAGAAGCTGGAACATGGCTTTACCAGGGTGGCAAGAAGAGTCATTGATGATTTTAAGAGCTCGGTTTAAAAGTCTGGATTCATAAAGAACCTGCAGAACAGGAAGCTCACAGCCCACAGTCCTCTTTGCAGTGCGGAGCATCTTGTTTAAAGCTCTCTTTTCTTTGTCTGTGATGTTGCCAAACCACACAGACACAGAACCAACAAGTAAACTCTCAATGGTGCAGCAATAAAAGTTAAGCAGAATCTTTGAGTTATTGGAAAATTCTCTAAGTTTCCATAAAAAGAAGAGCCGCTGACGAGCTTTCTTAACAACCCGGTTAGTGTGTTTGTCCCCTTTCAGGTCGTTTGAGAGTACTCCTCTACAATCTGCACCTGGGAGTTGTCAATAACAACAGGCGTGTGAGAACTGTTGCAACTGAAATCAAAGACAAGTTCACATGTTTTTGCAGTGTTCAGCTGGAGATTCCTGTGTGTTCCGTCTTTGTCGTTCCACGTCTGTTTTGGTTCCTGTCCTCGTCCGCTGTTTTTCGCTGGATTTTGATTTATAGTAGCTACTTTATAATAAATCCATTATTTTGCAACTCTGGGCTCATTTTTGGGCTCATTTCATTTTACCCACATTACACTTTTGTTCTTCTATCAGAGGCGATGAAAAACCAAATGAGAATTTTCCAGTTTGCAATACTTCCATCCATCCATTTTCTACCCTTTAATCCATTTCTGGGTCAGGGGGGTGGCAGTCAGAGATGCCACCCAAGTCTCATAGCACCAGCCCCTCACTGACCCTCTGCAGGTGGTGAGTCCACAGGAGGATGGCTGCTCTCTGAGTGTGAGCATGGCCTTGATCTTTCAGTGGGAGCTTTGGGCAAAGTGGGGTTAAGTGTCTTGCCCAAGGACACAACGACAGCAGTCATCAGTGGGAGTCGGTGGAGAAGGTGTAGAGGTGGGAATTGAACCCACGACCTTCAGGCCTGAAGGCCCATGCTCTACCAACTGAGCTACTGTCGCCCCTGTCGTTTGCAATTCTTGTTCTGGAAAATATCATTCAGACTCACATGCCCCTTCATTCAGGATTAACCGGGCCTTTTTTGGGTTGAGTTTGCATCTGTCTCAGCAGGGTCTCTCAGACAATAACCACACAGAAAAGAGAGAGAGAGAAAAAAAAGAGTGTAAAAGTGTTAAAACAATGACAAAAACTCATTTGAAAACTTCTGCTCGGACTAGAAAGGAATATTTCACAGACAAGTATTTTAACCGTGACTGTAAAACATAAATATAACCGTATTGCAACTGCATCTTGTGACTGTCTTCCCAGATCAAGAAATATTGCAATTTGTCTTGTTTATGTAAGTGTATTCAGTAACAATGCATATTAAAGAAGCAGTATGTAAAAACTCTGGCCAAAATTGATTCTGGAACCTCTCCCACTCTCCCTGACTCGGGGTGCCAGATATGCAGACGACTCCAGATGGGACCATAATATCTGAAGATATGAAAATCACCTATAACCAACACCTTTATCACAAAGGCCCCAATAGAAATCCTGGTTTCATTTCTTGTTTGAGAATTTGAGAATCATAGCGAGACCTTTTTTTAGTTCTGTGGCCACATGTTACTTTACCAGTGAGATTAGCTCCACAAGGTGAGTTCTGACAACCCTGATTTCTGATTGGTAAAACAGTGGAGGGCGGGACATCGAAATGAAAACAATAACAAGATTTGCGGGCAGTAAAACTAAGATTAAAATCCAAATATCTCTGAACTACTGTGGAAAAGAGCATGTTTTATTAATGCCTTTTGACAGATTAGGGCCATTTAAAGTGGACATATCGTGTTTTCAAATAATTTATTTTTACATCTAAATCATTAATTTGTGGCCTATATAAAGCGTAACTGCAATGCCTGGGTCTGAGTCTCATTATTTGTATCTCCACGGGCCTTTCTTCTACACCTGTTCTGAGGTGCGTCTGAGAGCAACCTGTTTTGGTGCTATCTCTTTAAATGCAAATGAGGTGCTTTTGACCACGCCCCCATTCAGGTGACACAGGTTCAACTCCACCCCGAGCGGCCATTTTTGTAGTTTCTAAGCACAGATACAATTATCTCATAGAAACTTCTCATTACATCGCAAGCATGAAGCAGTCCTTCCTCATTGACTGAAAGCAAATGTTAATTTTCATTCTTAGTCCAGTCTTATTATCGACTCTTCTCTTTTTAGCTTTGGGGGATCCATGCGCACAGTCTATGATGCTCACACGCCGGTTTGCTTACAAAAAGTTAGAAATGTGTTTATTGTGGATAAATCCACGTCATCTCCCCAGTCATTGTGCTGACGTGATCCAAAGTCCCTGTGAGGTCACTATTTGACCCTTATGGGCTCAGACAGAATAAGTCATTAGATTTTACATGAGCTTTTGAAATAGAGACCACAGCTTTAAGTCTCGCACCAAATGTTCAATAGCTATAAGAACCACGTGGAACTCTGAGGAGCACAGGGACTGGCCTCCTTGCTGTGGACATCTGAGGAGCACAGGGAGCTGGCCGTCCGTGCTGGGACTCTGAGGAGCCCAGGTTACTGGCCTCCTGCTGGGACTCTGAGGAGCACAGGGACTGGCCTCCTGCTAAGACGAGGAGCACAGGGATCTGGCCTCCTGCTGGACTGAGGAGCACAGGGACCTGGCCTCCCTTGCTAATGACTCTGAGAGCACAGGGACTTGCCTCCTGGCTAAGACTCTGAGGAGCACAGGGACTGGCCTCCTGCTGGACTGCTGATGAGCAAGGGACTGGCCTCCTGCTAAGACTGAGGAGCAACAGGACTGCCTCCGGTACCTGCTGGGACCTCTGATGAGGCACAGGGACGGCCTGCCTCTGGGACTGAGGAGGCACAGGGACTGGTCTCCTGCTGGGACTGAGTGAGCACAGGGACTGGTCTCCTCTGGGACTTGAGGAGCACAGGGACTGGCCTCCTGCTAAGACTCTGAGGAGCACAGGATGGGCCTCCTGCTGGGACTCCCTGTGGAGCACCGGGACTGGCCTCCCTGCAGGGACTGAGGAGCAACATGTACTGGCCTCCTGCTGGGCACTCTGAGAGCACAAGGGACTAGGCCTCCTGCTGGGACTGAGAGCACAGGGATCTGGTCTCCTGCAGGACTGAGGAGCATACAGGGACTGGTCCTCCGCGCGGACTCTGAAGGACACAGGGACTGGCCTCCTGCTGTGACTGAGGAGCACAGGACTGGCCTCCTGCTGGGACACTGAGGAGCACAGGGACTGGCCTCCTGCTGGACGCTGGGAGCACAGGGACTGGCCTCCTGCTGGGACTCTGAGGAGCACAGGGACTGGTCCTCCTGCAGGTCCCAGAGTCAGGACTAAAAACATGGAGGCAGTGTTTCAGATTATGCAGCTAAAAACAGTCTTCCAGAAAACGGAGACGGCAATATTCAACAATCCATGTTAAAACAGATTTAATCGCTTGACTTTCTGATTAAAGCCTTGTCTTGTGAGTTTTGCCGTGTGTGGACTGTGCGTATACCAATAACCTTGCCTAAGTGCTAAAGGGTTATGAACCTATGACATAAGTGGACTTTCCGCGTGGCCTCGCACCAGCATTTTTGTGTTACAATTTGAGTAAACTCTCTGAACCAACATACCGACAGAATATAAATAACATATGTACCTGTAGATACGGATACAGGTGTAAAAAATAAAAGATACAGAATAACATACAGGTGAAAAGAACCATGAACAGAACCTGAACAGAACCCATGAACAGAACCATGAACACGCTCAAGCAGAGGAGTCATTCTGTTGTCCGTCTAAAAACAACAAAGTTCACTAACCTGGTCTCTCCCCTGGTCTCTCAGCCCTGATCTCCTCCCTGGTCTCTCCCCTGGTCTCCTCCACCTGGTTCTCTCACCCTGGTCTCTCCCCTGGTCTCTCCCCTGGTCTATACCATATCAATCCAAACGGGGGGGAAAACAAAAGATGCAACGTGATTTCCTGTGGGACGACAGTAAATGGCGTCTTGTGCCACGAGAAGCATTCCACGTCCCCCAGCAACAAACTGGCTTTCTTCTTCAACCAAGTAACCTTTTCTCAGGACGGGACGCAGCCAATCAGAGTGAAGGGCAGTCACGGCCAGACACCGGAGCAGCTGCCGTCCATGTGGACTGGAACTCTTTGGGACCAGATTGTGAACTTTGTATGTTTTTAGGACGGACACAGAATACTTCCTCTGCCTGAGCGAGTTCAATGGTTCTGTTCATCGTTCTGTTCATGGTTCTGTTCATGGTTCTGTATCACCTGTATGTATTCCGGTATTCTTGTTTATTTTTTACTCACCTGTATACCGTCATCTACATGTACATATTTATTCTTTATTCTGGTCGTTTGATGTTCAGAAGTTTACCTCAAATTGTAACACTAAAGATGCTGTGCGAGCCACGCGGAAAAAGTCCACTGAGGTCATATGGTTCATAACCCTTAGCATTAGGCCAAGGTTATTGGTATAGCACAGTCCACACACGGCAACTCACAAGACAGGCTTTAACTCAGAAATTCAGATTAAATCTGATTTTTAACCTGGAATTGCATATTGCCCCCTGCTCAACGTTTTCTGGAAGAACTGTTTGTTTTAGCTGCATAAACTGAAACACTGCCTCCCCATGTTTAGTCCTGACCTGGACCACAGGAGACCAGGTCCTGTGCTTCTAACTACCTACAGAGTCCCCAGCAGGAGGCCAGTCCTGTGCTCCTCAAGGGTCCCAGCAGGAGGCCAGTCCCTGTGCTCCTCAGAGTCCCAGCAGGAGTCCAGTCCCTGGCCCTCAGCCCCATCAGAGCACAGTCCCTGTGCTCCCTCAGAGTCCCAGCAGGAGACCTTCCCTGTTCTCCTCAGTCCAGCAGGAGAACCAGTCCCCTGTGCTCACACAGGTCCCATCAGCAGGAGGCCAGGTCCCTGTGCTCCTCCGAAGTCCCAGCAGGAGGCCAGTCCCTGTGGCTCCCTCAGTCCAGCAGGAAGGCCATCCCTGTGCCTCCTCAGAGTCCAGGCAGAGGCCATCCCTGTGTCCTCAGGAGTCTTAGCAGGAGGCCAGTCCCTGTGCTCCTCAAGTCCAGCAGAGACACCCAGTCCCTGTGCTGACCTCAGTCCCAGCAGGAGACCAGATCCCCTGTGGCTCCTCAGTCCCAAGCAGGAGGCCATCCCTGTGCCATCAAGTCCCCAGCAGGAGGCCAGTCCTGTGCTCCTCAGTCTATAGCAGGAGGCCATCCTGTGCGCCTCAGAGTCCCAGCAGGAGAGACCATCCCTGTGCTCCTCAGAGATCTTAGCAGGAGCCAGTCCCTGTGCTCCTCAGAGTCTTTGCAGGAGGCCAGTCCCTGTGCTCCTCAGTCCCAC